GTCTAACTCTTTCATTAAGCATTCCTTTTGAAGGTGGACAATGTCATAACGTTAGCAACCTACAACTCAATGAAGCTGTGAATTCAGCTACTAGATCAATTATAACAGAGTAACTTAATCTGGCATAGAAAAAGGTTATTGATTCTTGTTAGCCCCATGGAGCCTGCAGACTCCAGTGTTAGTGAGTAGCTGAACTACATTTTGTTGTAACAGGAGACAAGGAAGTCCTAACACTCATTAACCCTTTTAGATGAGCAACATTGAGTAGCAGGCAAAATATTTCTATTTTTCCATCAATATTTCATCACCGGCTCAGGCCAAACAAAGCCAGGGGCTTTGACCGTAATGGTCCCATCTGTCTATAGATCTTCAGGACATCACCATATGGATGTCCTTTGACACCAGAAAATAGGCTTCGACATCAAGGAAACACACACACAGGATCCATGGATGTTAGCTAGCCTGGAAGGCAAAGTGTATCCTGCTTTATTTTGATGGTTCCTCACAGATGGTCTTTTGATGTTGCAGGAGGAGATCAAATTTCAAGAGTAGGCCATGGGTGAAGTGGACATCTCAGCTATTAGGACAAATCAGTGCTGTTTGAGTACATCAGTGGCATTTATACCCAATAAGTGATATGAGACACAGTATTAATTAACAAATTAATACAGCTGCTGTCGAAGTATTCTGTCCTCAGTTACCTGTTTGCACAACATCACTTTCTGAATCTTATTTAGTCGAACTCAGCCACCATATTAAGGAAAGTTTGTTAAAACAGCCTTCACACTTGTATTTGAGTATAGAAAATATGAGCCACTCATCCTCTTACTATTACTATTTATCCTACTCCATCTAGTGCTACCAGTGAATATAAAAGGTACAAATATAAATAATGTATTAATAGTAAGCTGACAGTATTGGCACGATATCCTGGCCTGTAAATTACTCATTGTTTCTTAGCAGTAAGAGAGTGACCTCATCATCATTGCCAGGCCCATTAGCTTTCTGCATAAACCTCAGGGGAGCAGTCCTGCTCAGTACAGTAGCATTTAGTGAAATGTTCAGAAACAAGAAGCAATTGACAGTTTATTCAGATTTAACTGAAGGGGTCTTAATCCAAGCAGTAATAAATAATACGATGTGAACGTTATTATAGAAAAGAAAAGTCACACACAAACGAACGCAGGAAAACACGAACAGAACCAGAAGGGCACTCATCCCGGCAGGGGTAAAAATGAGGTGAATTTTGAATAAGTTGAAAGAGCAAATGTCTTTGCAGTTGAATTAAATGCAGAATCACCTGGAGGCAGGTTAAAAAAAAGCTCAGCTCCCAGTGAGGAGCAGAGACAGTGGGACAGAAATTACAACAGAGCCCCCACATGACTCCCTGGGCTTAGGTTACACACAAGCCATAGTGAAGGAGAGCCACTTCGGCCTCTAATTGGTGGTAATTAACCCTCCATGGCCATTGTTCCTGCTTCATTGTGTTTTAAGAGGAGGGGGGTCAGTGAACACGGGAGCCCTCTCGACACAGACAGGTAGATGAAGAGATTGAATAACCACAAAATATTCTGATGGGTAAAAGACAGCCAAAATTCGTATGTGCTTTGCTTTGCTCAGGTAATTATCCCACACTGCCCAAAAAAGGAATACCATACCTGCTGAGTGAAAACCTGGCTTACAAAATGTGTGAATAAAATCTGACTACAAATAATAATATTAATCTTTCTGCAGAAGTGTGTTTAATGCCGGTTTTTAAAACCAGACAGTGAATGAGCAAGATAGGAAGGGAATAGGTTTTTATCCAACAATAGCAAGATTCAGTTTTTAACTTTTAAGTGGACTGACACAGTAACAGCTGACTGAAAGAGGTGAAAGTACAGGTAATATTTTCTAATAAGGCCTATATAAGTTGCAACAAATAGCTTCACTTACAGTAATGCTTTAACTGTTGGCCTTAATGATCACACATTTTGGGTTGTCAGGCTGTAAAAATCACTTCCTCCTAGAAAAGGCCTGTGGAGGATGCAGATCGAAATCCACTTATTGACAGTTTTTTTTTAACATTTACATCTAGACTTTATGAATTTGTGTAAAAAATATTTTTAAAGACTTAATAACCATAACTGCAGACTTAATGGATTATTAGAGGGTGAGAAACCTATTAGCATCTATTAATGGATAACCAAATCTTACCGTAACTCGATTACTACCAAAGGGACAGACAGAGTTGACACCGGCAAAAGAGATTTTTTTTCACATTCTGGCAAACAAAAAGCTGTTTGTATCAATGACTTGCTGCTAAGTTATCTATTAACTATTAATTAGTATCACCATAAGGCCTATTGAACATGGAAAAGAATGTGCACTTTAAAATCAACTGTCACATTTTCTTTTCTCCAAAACATTGAATAGTCCATTTCCAGCATGGCTACCCTCTCATCGCCAGCGGCCCTCTACACTTCATCTCAAGAGGTCATGGACCTTGATCCTGAACAATAGCCTCCTTTGTACTTGTGCTGTTGGAGAGTGACAAGGACTTGAAGGTTAGTCGACCTGGACTCCTGAGCAGACACGGTCGCACAGGAGTGTCCATTAGGGCTCGGTCCTGTGACGCCGCCGACTTTCATGTTGTGCTATTGTTACAGCTCTCTCCCCTGAGAGGCAGACACAGAGTGGGTAATGAGGGGTAATTGGTCCAGGGTTAAGGATGATTAATTCCCTTGGTCAGGTGTCAGCCAGTTTTCATACCTGGCTTGCGGGGTAGACAGGTAGGAGGGAGGAGAAGGTGGATGGAATATGAGACCTGGTGGATGCGCACACACACATGCACAGCCAGGGCAGTCTGCGCTTAAATAACTCAACCCACAGTGAAGCTCACATGCAGAAACCATTTTTCTATTCCTTAAAGAAACACACACATTGTATAAGACCACTATCACGTCAGGAAAAATTTCCCAGGATCATATCTTTCCAGGAACAAAGTTGAAAGGTCACCACGATCCTCCCCCTCCAACCGCTGAAGCCAGATTGAGATTGATAGCTGTCCCCATCCCTCCTACCTCCCCTTCAGCTTGACTGGCTAATCTGAATACCTCTCCATCCATCCCTTCATTCTAACCAGGCAATTTTGGACCCTGATTATCTTGCAACCTGTGTGTGCACGACAGTAAATGCAGGGGCTGGCTGGTAATTGACCAGGCAAAGACTGAGACGCCTGCCGTGTAATTGAGCGGGGGCTGAGGGGCTCTCGCAGGACTGAAAGGGTCCGAGGATTCCTCATTGCCCATTAGACCTGGCAGGGGGTCTCCTGTGCCTGTGGACTCCACCGTGAGGCCCACACCATACCCAGCACTTCAGTGCAGGACTGACACCTTTCTGTAGTGGGGACCAGAGGCTCTTTACACTGAAACAGCTGCTGTGTCCTATAGACTGTGAAGGGCGATATAATATGGGTCTTTCTAAAATGTACAGGGGATAGGTAACATCATTTAAACACCTAACAACATTCAAATCTCAAACACATCCTCATCCTCTCTGAAACTGTCATGGTAGATACATTAAACTCTGTAATTGGAGTTAAAGAGAAGCCTCCATTTGTTTTTGAAAGAAGGTGTAAACTATATCCTCAAAATTTCAATTTAGGTTTAATTATTGTAGCAATCATCTTCGGATATGTGGAGCTCAGTTTGCACCACAGAGAGAAAAATGGTCACATATTGGTTTATATTTCCTGTAGCGGAAGGAAAAGACTCTCACAACGTGGTAATTTAAGGCATGGTTCAATATTTTGTGAAATTGCCTTGTTCGCTTTCTTGCAGACATTAGAAGACAATAGTGGTACAACTCTCACATCCTTATGTTAAATATGAAGCTGGAGCAAAGAGTCTATTAGCTTAGCTTAGCATAAAGACTGGAAGAAGAAGGTAAAAACATCCACAGAGCATATTTCCTGTAAAACTACTCCCTTAATTATACTAGATTTTTCAGTAAGCCTGTCCTGTGGGCTCTTGGGACCACAAACAGTTGTTTTACACTTTGGTTTTTGTATGAATTAAACAAATGAGATATAGCATGTTAATTAGTGAGCTTTAGAGGTGCTGGTAGGTGGATTTTGTTACGTTTAGAAAGAGTCAGGCTAGCTGTTTCCCCTTGCTTCCAGTCTGTTTACTAAGCCAAAATAAGCACATTTGTGACCCAGTTCAGTTCACTTCAGTGGTTAAGTTTCTGCATCTTCTGGTCTAATTATCCCGTTACATGTTTGTCCATCCCTGTCAGTGTGGTCTGAGGGATTGTGCTACTGTTCATTCAAAATCCAAGTTTAAAACAAAAACAGATTTTCTTTGTTGATGTTAGCATACATTAAAGCCTTAAGTGCAACCTCATGGTCACATACTTCCTCACACCGACTCTTTATTAAGGAGACTGGGACAATGGAGCACCCTGCTCGTCCACACTAGGTTTATCTATTTTTCAAAAACGATAATAATGAATCACATAATACTCGGTCGTTGTCTTCAAAACACTTCTTCCTCTTTCCTCTGTTCTTAAAGCCCGGGGACCCCATGCCGAGCAGTGAAACATACATATGTGGCCAATTGGTTCTCTTTCCATCTGACTTGTGCCATTTGAGCTCAGAAATGGCCTCATGACTTCCGCTCCAGTGGCTATCAGAGGAGCCACCATGTTCACTTTCGCCTGTACCAAGCTCCTGCACTGCTCCCGCTTCATCTGCATATTGTAAATACGATACAGTGTGCTCGCTGCCCCGAGATCTTCACGGGGCAGTGAATGTACGGGTTAAACAGGCAGGCATTAATAAATAGGCTGTCAGCCGAAGACATGAACTATTAATCACTAACACATTCATACTGACAGGGGCTGATGTGTGCTACCAGTGTCTGCATGGAAACTGATGATAAATGATCATTATTTTCTGTAATGAATGAAGAAAAGAGCCGAGGACTAAAAAGCACAATTCACTCTATTTTATTTCTATAACCAACAATTCCTAAATATGTAAGTTCAAGTATTGATCTACTGATATTAAGAACTAAGTTTTCTGAAAATATTCTTCCACTCTACCTTATGATTACCAGTACACCTGAATTTTTTTTATTGTTATGATGTTACAGTTGATAGATCGTCTTCCTCCACTCTTGACCACAAAAGTAACCCTAACCCTAAGTGTTTACGGCAAGAGTCTGGTGTGCTAATGCTAAGAACTAACAGTAGACAATAAGGCAAAAGGTAGACAATGGAGGCACAAGGCCTAACCTACTACTGCTTAAGACACAGTGGAGAGAGATGGCTCACAGGACTGCAACAGTTACTGCTTGGTGCTGGAGAAACCCTGCAGACGATGGTGTTCCCTTAACCTGTGGGAAAAATAGAGTAAATAATACAATCTTAACTAATGGCCTCACGTCTTGCTGCTGTTTAAAATATTAGGAATTAATATTAAGGTGCAAAGGGCGCTAACCTGACAGCGTTGATCCTGATGAATCCAGAGGCATCACATGGGTCGTAGTCTCCTTGAACATCCATGCTGGAGTGAAACGATTAGTCAAGAAAGAGACAGCGGGTCAACAGAGACCAATGTTCAAATTTCAGTTAGAAGGAAAACATAGCTAAAATACTAAAATACTACAGGATATTCTGGTAACAAAATTACTGAAATGTTTGGAGTAAAAAGTAAAGTGAGAGACATGGAGCCTGATCAGCTACTGAAATAACTGGATCATTGATAATCTGCTCTGTTGAAATAATGTTCCCATCGATTTCCCTCTGAATGCTCTTCTTTAGCATTGTTTGTCCTGAATAACGAAGAATCAATACTGGAGAATGAAAACACGCTCATGTACAAAAGCACACAAAAGACACACATAACCCACTTTAAAACAATCCCATCATATCAATTGTGAGCTAAGTGTCGAGATGATTTTGTAATCTGGTGTTTCTGCCTTCCCCTTTATCCACTTCTTCTAAAAAAGAAGTAAATCTATAACTTGTGCCGTTGCCTGTTCTATGTTGTTTAGGCTGCTTGTTGTAGTCATCTCTTCTTAGTGTGTGCGACTGTCTCACAAAGAGTGTCCGTGTGCTGTGTAATTACAGCAGTTTCTACCTGCAGTGCTTAATACACTCCCTCACTGAGTCCTCTCCTCCCTGTGACACCCCCAACACCCAATGTACAGCTTGCACTCATTCTTCAAAAGCACTTAGCAAAAGAGGAAATTGCCAACAAATGATAGGATAAACACTATAAAAAGAAAGCCCGACAACTAAATCATCAACTCTCAATACAAGGCTCCCTACCCGGCACCTGAACATGATTATGAGTGAGTGGCTTCAAAGAATACAGCACTCTGTCTGTGTGTGTGTGTGTGTGTGTGTGTTTGTGTGTGTGTGTGTGTGTGTGTGTGTGTAAGCATGTGATATTTTGTGTACTCCTTGAAGAAACCCTGTCGTCTAATTGAGAGTGGAGGCAGTGGACAGCGAGAAGGGTGACATTTCTGTCTCAGATGGGTGCGGTGACGGGCTGTATTACCACTGTGTTAATGACGCCGTTTACTGTTGCATGTGGAGAGACAACAGGATGCCAGTGGGGGTTTCATGCTTAGTCTGGTCTGTGGGAGTATGTGTGTGATTGTGGCAGGTTTTCATGTAGTGGTGAATACGTGCGTGTGCGTGTGCGTGTGCGGGTGCGTGCGTGTGTGTGTGTGACTGCTGCTTTCAGGTGTATCACTGTCAGGTACATGTAAATGTCTATGTCACTATAGAGGTAAAGATAATCCACGATAACCCAAATATAAAATAATCAATCTGTTACAAAGCTGAATTTTCATGTACATTCGCCATCATTTCATCACTTTTTCTTTATGCCCTTATTTGATAGTGGACAGTAAACAGCTGCCACGAAATGACGGGAGAGAAATGACTTGGTCAGCACCTTAAACCCCTTGGCCACCACCAGGACGTCCCAATCATCATGTTTATCAGCACTGATCTCCCAATTCATTTCAATGTCGATTCCATTCTTGATGATTCAGTTACATCAGATAAATATCAATGTTGCTGTTAGCTAGTGTTAGCTTTATGACAGGGACAGACCGAATAATTGTGAAAATGCAAACATTGATCTTGGGTTTTTAAGAATCGATATTGTATCATTCAAATAAAAATCGTAATAATTTTTTTTTGCCCCACAAATTTTTCATTCATTAAGTTGAATATGTCTTTGGTTTATTTATGGTTTTACATATTGTTCTTAGTTATATAAAAATACTATGTTCCCAGTTGAAAACTTGATTTCATATTTACAGTTCATTCATAAGAAAAACCCACAAGGGATCCTTGCCAAAAATGTGTATATTTCTTCACAAACAAATATCAGATGACATAATGTTACTGAATCTTTTTTATTGTAAAATATTGACATTGTATGGGCCTGAAAAGTCCTCCTGTCAGGTCAACTCTGAATAAAAGTTACTTTAGTCCATCACAACTGAGTCTTTTCTATGAGCATGAAGCAAAGTTTTGTGTCACTGTGTGTGACTGCATTTTAGAGTGATGGTTTTTGTTTGGGCCGATTGTGATGAGCTCCTTTATGGGGAAACACTGCACCCATCTGTCCGTGGCCCCGAGGACTTTGTAATGTTGCAACACTACACCTCTGTCACACTCGTGTCGTTCGAGCCAAGAAATGTGACTCAGAAAGGTGAAGTGTTGAAATGAGAACATGAGCGTTCATCAGTGAGAGTTTTTAAGCAACTGGCTGTTTCGATGATTGATTAGTCATAATTTATCTTGAGTGACTCAGCAGTTAGTTGTTAAATGTTTCACTGAAAACAGAATAAGCACAACAACTGAGAGAAAGTAACATACTAATATAACATAGGTTAAAAGGGCTGAATGAATGTGCAGTCTGAGTACAGTATCATCTCTATTTATCTCTCTCTCCCAAATCAGACTACGAAACTGAATGGCTGGCTGTGTGAGCCATGTTTCCTTGCCCCTGTCTTTCTGACCTGCTTAAATAGCATGACACCCTGGCACTTTCCTCTCACAAGCCCAGTGAAATCCTCTCTCTCCTCTGGCTGAAAATGCCATTAGCTCCCTGACTCTAGGGTACAACTGGAGTGTGTGTGACTGAAGTGGAGATAGAGAGGCATATGGAGGGGTTTTACTTTGGTCAGTGCTGAGCCTGCCCAGAGGGCATGAGGGGTCAGTCTCCTGAACAAACCCACTGTTACCACGGCTAAGAGGGCACTGGGGTGTAGTGGGAGGGGTTAGGGTCGGGGGCTGCCCTCCAGGAACTGAGCTTGACACTTCTCTGATGTCTTTGTGAGGCAGGGTCGGTTTAATATGTTGATGTGGAGGTCATACAGAGAACTTGGGCAAGCTGACCTAACAACAGGCTGACTGGTGAACATGTGGAATAGCTGCAATGTGCCCAGAGCAGCCAAACACAGCTGTCACGTAAGAACAAGCACAAACTTTGATTCAGTGACACATGGGTGCCCCCCCCCCACACACACACACACACCTTACCTGACCAACTCCTCATTGTAAAGGGACTTGGGTGACTCTCGTCCCAGGATGTAGACATGACCCTTGAAGACAGACAGCTGTACTTTGCCTTCCACATTCTCCTGGGACTTGGCTATGCAATGACGCACAAAATCACACTCTGGACTGTACCAGAAACCTGAGGTAAGCAAGGAAACAGAAACATCTTACATGTTGCAAAAAACAAAGCTGTAAAGGTTAGATCATTAGTTCCTTTTAAAACAAAGACGAGTCAAAACCCAGAATGCTGTAAATGATTTGTTTCCTAATGTTGCCTAAATGGCCAATGAAAAAGTGATAGTCATCATCACTTTCTCACTTTTTTTTTACATTTATTATTATAAATATTATTATAAATGTTATCAATTGGACAATAGCAAAACACAATATGGGACTGAGCAAGTGAGGAAAGAGGCTCCTCCTTTGCACATCCTCCATTAGCAGCAGGGTCTACAAGGGTCTGTGTGATGACCACCATTCCCTCTCATGATGATGTGATGTGACTCTTTCTGTGCTTTGGTCTCATTACTGTTCCAGGTGAAGTTCATCAACCCCTTTCTTTTTTCCCATTTTGCAGACCTGGCCCGTCAGTCTCTGAGACAGATGGGCAAAGGATACGTCTGTATATGTTCAGAGGTCAGGCACGCCCCACTCAGCAGGGGTCCTCCTCTCATCAGCAGCTGACCTCCACCTCATCGTCTGGCCATGTTCAAAGACACAATCCTTCCCTGCTTTTATTACCTCTGATTTGGCAGTCACACACAGGCCCCATTTTAGTTTAGAGTCAATTAGATTTTGTGTTAATCCTCATGTTAGCTCTGTGTGTCACTGTAAGATTTGGGGTTCCACTAATTATTATTTTTGATTAATCAATTCATCATCTGGTCTATTTAATCTATAAAGTAAAGAAAAATACATTTCACATGTTACAAGATCCAAAAATTATGTTTTAAAATTGCTTGTTTTGAATAATCACTGATCCAACAATTCTAGTTTTATTAAACTGGGAGAAAACAAGCAAATTATGTACATTTGATTACTGGAGCAAATGTTCGGTGCCTATACTTGATACATGACATCATTAATCAGTTCTTACAATTTACATTAATGAATTGTCTTTTAATCGACTAAGCAGTTAATTGACAGGAGCGGCTTGTCAAATGCTTGCTGCATCCCTGCTGCACTACCTCCAACTGCAGCAACTGTAATGAAAGATTGTTTGGATAAAAAGTGCAGTATTAATGCAAAGCAGATGCGGGACAGGTGGATTGTTAACGTAAGCCACACCACCTGCCGTCTGTTATGTATCTGCAGAATTATTAATGATTTGAATCTACAATGGGTTTAATCTCTGCCCTGCTTCTGAACTTAGCACCGTTGTGTGTGTGTGTGTGCGTGCGTGCGTGTTTGCTTCCTGTCTCTAGAGGATATAACTGAAGTGGCCTAGTAGTCGGTCTCTAATGGCACTGATCCTATTATGTGGATGAAGGTGCAGGGGACTGGACACCGAGCAGAAGGGAGGATTAAGACACCTGAGCCAAGAAAAGCTCATGCACACACATGCAAACATACTTAACACACAGGAACATACGTATGCACATTCACTTCACTCTTATATAAGGTGCACAGTGATCTTTCCATTACAAACATACAAAGTACCAGTGACCGTCCATGCAATTTTGGAAATACTGTAATTTTAACAGTGCAAAGGAGAATAATGCATAATTTGACCTGTCCTAAAAATAACATTATGTCCTACCTGGCTGAACAATGTCATGACTGGGGCAATAAGCCCAGAAATGAAAGAAAGTGAAATAGCATCAAATCAAGATTGTGTATTTTAGGGACTTACCGTTGTAGACGAGTTCAGAGAACCTGATACTCAGTCCCTGTTTGATCCGCCGCACCTCTTTGTCCATGGTAAACGTCTCGATGTCTAAATGGGCCTGTAACAGGATGGTGCCTCCTGGGGTTTCATAAATCCCTGACAAACACAGAAAAAAATCAACAAAACTAATGAATATTTGCACGAAACACAATCATTTTTTTAATATGAGTTACCAGATCAGTAAGGAGATGTGTGCACCCTTATGAGCCTGTATAATGCTGTCTATCTCAAACATTCAACACAGTGTCTCTCATTATTCTCATGATTTTATATAGTCTGCCTCATTTTTCAGATCCAAATGATGGAAACTTGAATCTAAAAAACTAAATAATAATAAAAATAAGTACTCAGATTTGTACATATAATTACCTCTATACATCTCTTAATTTTACCACAACCAGTGGCACTGTCATCATCTTCATCAGTGGCCATTCATATGGACATAAACCATAAGCCCTGTTTATCTGAACTAACTACAAGCGAACAGCTGAATTAGCCATCAGCTGTCTGACAGACAGGCCTTCACAGAGCTCACAAAACATGGATGAGTTTGTCCTGGGTAAATGACAGGGTAGGAGGCCCCTGCCAGCCTGGAGCCTGGACCAGGGCTCTCCCTACCCTGCAATTTACCCCCTCTGCACATGGAGGGTGGGGTGAGGGAGGAAAAGATGAGGTAGATGACAGGAGAAATGAAGCTGTCACTCAAATGTCAGCTAAAAACAAAAGGAGGGCAGGTGAAATGATAGAGAAGATACAGATGACGACAGAAATAGGAGCTTCATCAATGACATCCATTTTTGCAAGAGCTGAAATTTTGAAAAGAGTGCCACTTCCCCATCCAACACATGGTTCTTCACATCAACTGTCAATTTGAATGATAGTCACACATTTTCGATTCAAGCTAGGCTGCCAAGCTGCCAAACGGATACTCCACTATGGCCAGCATCAGGTTGCCAAATTTTACAATTTGTGTGGTGTTCTCCTGACTCCAAAACCCTTTTCTGAGATTTAACAGATGAGCACAATTTAATCTCTTCCAATCTGGTGAGCAGTGAAGCTCAAATCTGCATGACCCTAAATACTCCAGCACCGGTCCTGATCTGAAAATGGAGAAGCACTTACTATGTGCTGGTGGCCAAAAACAGAGCTTAGCAATGCTGCTAATTGTCCAAAGCCTCAAAAGACTGCCACCTGAGCCAGTATGGCTTGTGGCTCTTTGGTGATCCAGGGCCACAGAGGGCACGTAGGGACATTTCCGCTGGCTCTATCAGATAAATAAGTTAAAACTGCCCTCCAACACAACTTGGCTTAAGTGCTCCAAAAGAGAGCTAGCTTAACAGACAGGAGCAAAACAATGAAACGCTATCTGGGTAAGCTCCAACAGTGGCAGTTTGGTTAAGCTTAAAGAGACAACACCCCCTGTGGTTTTTGAGGTTTTAATCTTTTATACGGGTGCTGCAGGTATGCTAACCATGCTGCAGGCCTGCAGGGGTTCAGGTCAGGAATTAATTCATCCTGAGCTGATGTCATCTAACCCTTTGGGCAAACTGTTAGTCCAGGATAAACAGGCAACACAAGTAAATAAAAGCAGATGAATATCTTAAGAAATGAAAAATGAAAACTGATAGAAAATAATTTTTCCTTGAATAAACATGTAACTATAATAAAAAAAACATGTGTATTAATATTTGAATGCCACAATCCTGGAGTTTGACAGCACCAGGAACTGGACATGAGGCCGCCTGTTCATCATCAAAAAATACAGCCATTTCCGACTGCTTTTGATAGGTGCACCTCAGCAAAGCCCATCACCCGTGCACAGGTCAGAGGTCTGACAGCACTGTGACAGGTGGGAAATGTTAGTCTGACACACAGGCTGTTGAATGTTTTGTAGCACAGTGACAACATTCTTGACAAACCATTTTAATCCCCCCCCCACCTCCCTGACCCCACACAAATAAATATGACCCAACACAAATAAGTATGACATGTCCCCATTCAATCCCTCCCATCATCTATTGTGCTAACACAACTGCCATTCCAGAGGAGACCAACATGTACACTCGATGGTAGTTATTCAACCACTTGGACACCTTGTGCTCCACCTCTTCCTATTGCTTCAGTGGAGGAAAAAGCTTTGATCTTTTGTTCAGCCGAGGGGAGAGAAAAGTGGGCTTCCCATTTTCCAATTTCTACCTGCCAAGTTGCGCCACAGCCACAGTCTGTTGGCCAGTCAATTTGCCAATCATAGCACATCGTGTCTTGGGGGAAGAGGAGTGTGTGTGTGTGTGTGTGTGTGTGTGTGTGTGTGTGTATGTGTGTGTGTGTGTGTGTTTGTGTGAGTGAGTGCCATCGTACAAGGCCAGGACAGCTCACTGGACTTGTAGATTTTCTGTGGTAACACATGTAGAGACCTAACAAAAGAGCTTTTCAAGTTGCCTGTTGATACCAAAGATAAAGACAGAAAAACATCACTGTGCAACTCCATGTGCACATATGTGGTCGACTGTCTATTTGTGTTTATCCAGTGAAGCGTGTGCACCGTTATCTATCACACTGTGTGTTTTCTGTACATGTGTGTGCATGCATAAGTGAATGGAAGTAACTTCAGTGTCTATGATTCCAGGTGAACCAGAGGAAAACATTTACTTTGAACAGAGTGTGTTTGCCATCCAGCCCACTTTTATGAAAGCGGAATAGCAAGTGTGACACTTAAAGCACTCAAGTAAAATAACTGCAAATTGCGTGAAAGCCCTGGAAAGGAAAAGGAAAGGAAAGGTTTTGAATAGATGTAAAATTAAAATATTGAAAATATGTCCATCTCGCTGCATTTGTAGTCTATATCACCGGTTGTATGAGTAAAGCAGTCTGTCTGACTAATTTGGCACAAATAGAAAAAATGTCATAACCAAGATAGACAATAATCAAATCTAATTTTTAATTACTTACCTCTGGACTTCATCCCAATGAAACGGTTCTCTACGATGTCAATCCGGCCCACACCGTGTTTTCCTCTAAGAGACAGACAAGGACAGCCAGACAATTTTCAGCGGACACCACGATAATTTCACCTCGTATTAGTTTAGCCCACATAAGTACATTAAATAGTTTTAATTGACCTGCTAGTCATAAACATTATAATCTATAAATAACCAATAAAAGATTGTAAACTCTTACTAAAGAGAAAAAAAAATACAATAATACACACCAACAGAAGAGAATTTACATCCCTGTTACAATATCTCTTCTCTCATTTCCACAGGACTGTCAGCATCACAGGTAAATTCAGCATTAGAGGTCACTGTAGCATCTTCCACAAACAGCCTGTTTCTCACCTCCTCAAATATAATATTTTGAATGGCAAAGCTGAAAAACTATTGTAGTTTCCCCTGATGATGGAAATTAATTCCATGGCATTAGTTTAGAAGTTACAAAACAAGTCAATGTTGCATGAAATGAAAAAGCAGTATTAACTTAACATAAACTCTGACAGTGTCGATGCAGATGCAGTTAAATGCAGAAAAAAAAAAATTTCACAGGCAACATCATGCTCAGAAGCAATGGAGGAAACTGTTTTTTCTTTGGCATCAGTCGACTCACCTTTATTGCTCTTCATTTATTTGGACAGTTGGAAAGCAGAAAGTGAGACAGAGTGGAGGAGACACAGGAGGGAAAATTCTGGTGGGATTTTATCCCTGGCCAGCTGCGACAGACACACATCCCTTAGAGGTGGGGAACTTAACCACTGTTCAACCTCTGGGGACATTTACACACTATTTTGACAGAAAGGCTTCCTTGCTTGCTAAATTCTTACCCAATCTCATTAAGGTATGAGAAGATATCAAGTGGTGAGTCCTTGGATTTGCCTTCCTTCACGTTGGTCACCTTGACAGGCACTCCTAAAGGGAAAAACAATGTTGATTTCTTTACTTTATCTTTGATTTATATGACTTAAAATTAGCTTCATCTGATACTGTCAAATTGTGTTATAGTGAAATTAAAGCAATGTCACAATCTACAATGCATTTTTATGTTTTAGATTCAAAAACACAAACGTGACAATTAATGTAACATTTTGTATTTAGGTTGATAAGAAAGATGCATTTTGATTGTGAAGAAAATCACTTCCTGAACAGAGTTAAAGTCAATTTATCCAATCATTTATTTGTTTGATGCAAACAATGACAACTAGCTGTCAAATGTTACACTTCCTATGCTGCACAGTTACTCAAATGTAATACAAAAAAAGTAGCATTGCTGCCAGTGTCATGTATTACTAAAGTGAAAATTATCTTTTTGATATATGATATATTTTACTTTACTGGTAACTGATGTAGAGAGACAATACCTTCCAGTAGAAATTTATTGTTGCCACAGAATTATATTTTCCTAATATTACATAAATAGAGCCTGTAAACACTAAGCTGTGTTGCAAAAATCTTTGGATTTTGAGTGCTTCAAAAAAAAAAACAGTGTAAATTTTAATGGTATCATTCACTACTAGTATAATGTGAATTGTGATACTACGCAACAAGTAGTGCAACAGTCTGACATTACCTGCCACACTGGTACTTGCTTTTTGAGAAGGGTAAAGTGAAAAAACAAGTGATTTTCACTGAGATTAGAGAAGCAATCAATGCAGAGCCCCTCAAGAACACTGAGTAAAAAACTTTACCTTTATACAGCCTAGTTAGTCAACAGGGCGACAGCTTTTCAAAAACTAATGGAAGAATTCATTTCAACTGACTAAACTGTCCAAAAAAAAAAAACCAACAGTAAAGAGTTGATAAAATCTGTTGACAAGTGCTCATTATCTCAGTCACTGAAATCAATAGTCGTTCGCTAAAAGTGAAAACCATTACAAAAGGAGGTGGTGAGAAGGGCTAATAAATTCAAAGGCTCTGCTCATTTGAAAGCTGTGAAATCGTGGGCAGGCCTTTACCTAATTCAATTACACACGCAGCTTTGTTACCCATACTCTCTTTAGCTCTGAGATTTTTTTTTCGCCACTGAGTGTTTGTGTGTTCATGCGCATGTGCAGGACACAAAACCACTTGCAGATTCATCATCCATCTTCCTATTACAATGTTTCTAACACACACACACACACACACACACACACACACAGCTTTTCTTGAAAAGACACCCACGTTCACGCCACACACTTCCTGTCCAAAGCCACTTAAACCAAGTGCACATCAATCACTGTCATGGACCTGCTAATTCATGGCCTTCAATGAGCAACAAGGGCCAAAGGTGGAGACGAGGAAACAAACAGAGACATGGTTGAAAAGGAGTGTGCGTGTCCATGTGTGTGTTGATAAGGGAATATAACCATTTGTGGACTTCACAAGGAGGAGAGGAAATGAAAAAAGAACATGCTGATATTCGCTGTCCATCCATCCATCCAGCATTCAGTCCTATACATACTCCAGCATGCTTGCAGTTGTCAGTCAAATAGCTCTGAAGAGAAGAGCAGCACTTCTGATCGCCTTTCAGCCAGCGTTTACAAGGCCCTGATAGGAATGACACGTGAAAGACTTGACAAATTTTTTTAGACAAGGGCTTTGTTGACAGCCCATTCTCATATCGCGGGAATCATGGTGGCTCCCATGAAAAAAGAAAAAGTACCTCCCGGTGCAGGAGAGGGCAGTATGGATGGTGCATTATCAAAACCGCCCCCCCCCCCCTCCCAGATACCTAATAATTAGATTAAAAGTTCAAATAAATTACGTGAGTGTCTGAACGTGGGAGTGAAGGGGCTGGCCTTTCATCCCTGTGCACTCTCTTTTTCCTCGCTCTCTCCATCATGCAGGTTCTATCATTCACTGAGGGCTCTTTTTCTCCCCATGATCCTTTTCTTCAGTTTTTCGCAGCCTAACAGTGCAGACAATGGGAGCGCAGACACAGTTGTAGGAAAAATTACTGCTTTACATTTTTCCTCTCTGTCTCTTTTTCCTCTCCACTTCTTTGGCATGAAAGGAGGGAGGGATGAATTTTTTTTTTTCTTAAAAAGGGAGAGGAATGGGGAATGGAGTGTTTGACGGGGGAAAAGGTTCCTGTCGTTAAATATTCTTTTTTAATCAGTGAGAAAACTTTGGTGAGAAAGGCAGGGATGAAAAGGTGGGAGGGGGAATGAAATGAAACATTCTTGTGCTGATCTTGTGCTCAGAGGGAGGAGTAGGCTCAGGCCTTTGTGTGGACAACTAAAACAGCTTTTGTCATAGGGTGCTCAATAAAGGCGCAGAGAATATGTGTGAAAACGGAGCACAGGCCTGCAAAGAACCCGCGAAACCAGACTAGGCTTTACTACTGCATCACTGTTTTACAAAAGCATATCTCATGTCTAGCTGAACTGACAGCAACCTACTTGTTTTAGTGTTAAACATTTTCTTTGGGAAACTGGTAAAGTGATCTGGACACGACCTCAAAGCTGATACATAGCTAGTTAGCATAGTTAGCTACTAAATGGCATTTCGGTTTGCATTTTAAAAACCACTTTTGGCAGCTTGAGCTTTAATGATGTCAAACATCTCCACCAAATCTACCAACTGTCTAAACTTCCCTCAAATTGCTATAATGGCTCATAAAGCTGTCAAGCCCTTGTGATCAGAGGAGCTAGTATCTCTCAGGCCATTGATGTTTGTGATCTTCAGCCACCACTGGTGACCAGGGATGAAGGGACATTTGTGCCATTTGCCCCAGGCATGGATGTTTCTTGCCATTTTCACTTTGCGCAAACATGTGACACTTTCCACTATTCAGCCTGGCCCCTGTGGCAATATATCTAATGAGCGTTTCTCTGGCCCCTCAGGGCTTGGTGTATTAGCTGGACTTAATGCTTCCGGCCTGTGTGTGTGCCCCCGGGCTAAACACGGCAGCTTTGGACCAAGTAATGCTGTGAGGGGTTAAGGATAAATCTGGGTGGTCAGGAATGGTGATAAAGTGCAGCCGGGTCAACGTTAGAGCTGTAGCCCTGTGGCTATAACCATCAATGTTAAGTAACATGAAGAGGTGTGAACTAGACTGGACACTGACTCTTACAGATAGATGACAGAAGTTCACAACTGATATCACTCAACAAAAATTATGCAACCTAACTGAAACTTCTTTTTCAGTTTGTGTGCATGGTATTTAACAGAATTTACATATCAAACTGGTTTTGATGGGTGAGAGATTTCAGGTCAAACCAGGTCTGGGGGATTATCAGATGAATGCGTAAATTCTCAAGTTACCAATTTCAACAGGCCACTGCAAAATCTGTTTCACAAATATGATAGAATAGACGAATTATACACCAGATGTTTTCATTTTCATTTCAGTTTCAATCTATGTGAAAATGGACTGTTGATTTTTAACTTTGTTAAATTAAATTTTCCTTATATTTTTGACTGAATTTTCATTAAATCAAATTAATCATTATCATTTGTATTGATAATGAATCTAAATGAATTACATCAGTTCTGAACATGCATTAAAAATACTTCACGTTTTTTGGAAAATCATGTGTTTTTCCATCTACATCAGAGATTGGCTTTTAGAAGTTGCGAGGGTAAAAAACAAATGCAGGTGAGAGAGGAATCAACAGGTGACACGTGTTGCATGCACACAAACCGTTTTTGAACTCTATCTCCAGTAGGTCAGGGGTGCTAGGAGAATCTTCTGGGTTCTTGGTCATCAGGTACAGGTCATCCGGGGCATGGCTCTGAAAGAAAAACACACACTCACTTTCTCTATTTCACACACTTTATTACCCTTGATGAATAACCGGGACCTTCTGAGACCTCATCAAAGAGCAGTGCCACAAATGGGGAGACTATTGTGTGAGGTGATAACGGACAACTCGAGTTGTGGCGGAGAGAAGAAAAGAGAGGATGATGCGTGAAAAAGGAGAAACCTGAAAATGCCATCAGGAGTTGAGTGAAGACAAAAAAAAAAAAATCAATGTACCATTTTTCTCCTCTATTTGGTTTCATTTTCCCTGCAAGGCCCTTCACCACAGGGGAAGGCGGGGAAAAGCGGGATGCAGCGAGAAGGAGAGTGGGAAAGGGCAAAAGAAAGAAATGACTCACATCCCCAAGAATAGTGAACACTTGACAAGTCAAAACACACCTGATACTATGACAAAACCTATTTGAGCAATATTAAGTCCTCAGTAATATTCTGCCTGTCTGTAAAAATCTCTGATCTGCCAATTCTATCAACCGTCTGGAGTTCTTCTCTACCTGTCCTCACCTACTCTGATCTTCTAGTTTTACAGCTTTGACTTTTTGAGTGACTTCTGCTCTATTTTATTTTCAAATGAAGAATTTAGCTAAATGGACATCAAACAACAAAGCCTCAAAGTCCACACCTGAAATCCACTAAAGTTGTCCTGGGTAACAGACATTTGTCATTTTTCCAGTTGGCGGGAGCCGGGAACGATTTCAGTAAGTCGTGGTTGGGACCTAAAAGAGCATGGCCATCTGACGTGTCCGCCCAGCGATGTGCCCCTCCAACAATTACATAGCATTAGGACAAGACGATGGCCAATGTCTCCTGAGCTGAGGCAAATTGCAGGGGGACTATGCAAAATAACTACTGGGTGCATTTAAATGGAAAGCTTTACCAGACACTAAATCATCATACAATAACTAATCGGCATCCGCTTGTCGCCTGTCAGAGAGGAGAAAACGAGCAGCGCAATCACTTTCCTTCCTTTTAACTAAACACCGAAATTGACTGAGAAGGCGCCTGGCTCCCTCTCCTTTATTTTCTGCCTCAGAGCCCTGAAAGATGCCAAATGAGAGTGAACAGGAGAGGGGTGAAATGACTACCCTAAAAAGCCTTTTGATGCATACTCTTTGAGGGGGGAAAGATGGACTGAATTTTAAATACTGGAGAATGAGAAAGACTATGTTTCCTGTGGTGTTATATGCTTGTTGTAAACAAATGGTTGTCTTTTTCAACCTTCAAATAACACACACTATAGCACATTAGCTGTATGTAGCAGTATTTGTAGGTAACGGGTTTCTAACTTACAGCAAAACTTTACACAGTGTTTATACGTTACCTTTATAGTTTTTGGCATGCTATGCATTAATTAAACAAGTATCCCCAGATTTAGTCTTTTTTGCTAAAACAGATTTAAGTATGCATTTTTTTCTAACTTGAGGGACATAAATATTTTGATTTTTGATGCAATATGGCTTAGAGGAAGGCCTCACATTCGAACAACTTCCACCTGATTAATTAAAAACACATTTTTAAAATGTATACAAATTCATGCCTCTGACTGAGTAATGCTCAAAAACTCATGCATGCTCCAAAGATGAGAGCTCAAACTTACAGGCTGTTGGATACAAAGAAAAAAGGAAAAAGTAAGGGAATAGGCCTGTTTCCAGTGAGCAAGAGATCAATGCATTTCAATTCAAACCCCCTGCAGGTGGACCTGTCCCAAAGCCATGGCCCTGAAAGAGAGGAAAAGGTAGAGATAGAGAAGGCGAGGGGGGGGGCAGGGGAGTATTGGTGGGAAATGGGGCGTGAAGCGCACCATCATGTAGCACAGAGCAGCTCCTTTGGCAGTCTTTGCTTCTTCCATATTGTTGTGCTAAACATGGCCCATACAGCAAAGACGAAGGCTGACGCATGAACTTAAAGCAAGTAAATTTCTATCTTTCCACATATTAGTTGCCTCATTGGTTTTCAATCGAAGCCAACAGGGCTAAAAGAGGCAGAGGTGGCAGGAGGGAGAGGGGGAGGAAGGGACGGGAGAGTTGAGAGGGAGGTAGAAGAGAAAAGGATAGTAAAAACATCTTTGGCGCAATGGGTTGGAAATGACGCTTAAATCACCACGTTTCAAGTCTGTCCTTCTCTTTAAAATGCAAACATGGTAAATTGAGACAAGAATAAAACAATATCCACGTGATGTGCTGGAGAGATATTTATATTCTTAACACCGAGGACGTTTTGGTTAATGTTAAAGCCTCAAGTAAATTGAATGAGGACAAGAGGCATTTCCTACACGGAGGCAAAGCTAGAGCAATACCAAGATGGACACAGGGAGCATCCGTTAAGTATTACAGGTCAGACCAATCAGACCTTAGGGCAGCAAAGGCACATGACAAACGCTGACCTCTTTGCTTCAAAGCACACATTCTCATGCATACAAACACCTACAAGACCACTTCCTTCCCCTACAGGCAGTCTGCCTATCCATCTTTCCAGCCAGCCATGCGACCAGCAGAAAACAAGTTTTCATTTCCTCTAGGTGAGCAGGGGCTTGGCATTACGTGGTCAACACAAGCAGTGGCCCATCAGCTCCCTGATCAAAGAACAGAGTGGGCCAGGGGAAGCTAACTGACATAGGCTATAATTAAGACTGAGGTGATGTTTTAATGACACAGGACGAGTGTCAGGCTGCCTCAGGGTGGGTCCTGACTGCTCATGTGTGGAGGGATGAAGAGAGAGGAGACAGTGAGGGAACTGGAGGGTGCAAGGACATCTAACAATTGGCATATTGCTAACCCAATTTGAAAAAAACATTTTCTGGAAATTCAATTGAGCAACATTTATAAATAGAATAATTAGATGGAAATGACAAAAATCAAGAAAATCAAATCAAAATCCTGTAAATTCAATATTGCCCTGCTTGAAAAACAAGCAGAGAAGAAATCTCTAATATCTCTGAATGAAGGGTATAGACACATCTGTCAGTTGGCGCTATATATCTTCATATCGTCCAACAAAACCAGAATTTATTGTGGGATTTGATTAGTTTACCTTTACGACAACCTTTAACTCGATGCAGTCATCAGGTGCATGCCAATACTATTATATGTGATGGAACAGACATGATAACAGCTTGCTGCAGTTGCTCTGGGTGAATGTCTTCACATAGGCCACAAATGGAGGTGAGTAAATAAAAAAAAGTCACCAGGCCATTGTGCTACAGGCAACATGGTTTGGGGTTATCAGGAAGGATACAGTGTTAATCATAGAGTAACCTGAACTCTGCTGACTCTTATCTATAGGAGAACATATGAGCGACCATTTGGACATTTCCTAATTTGACTGTGTTGAGCAGAGAGGGGCCATTGTACCACAGGTGGGTGAGTAGGGGAGTTTGAATAGTCGAGGTCTGCCCTCAGCCTTTAGGGCTGTAACTGGAGGAGAGAAAGAGGCTGATACAGAGAGGAGATACTTAGAACAAGATGACCTCCTTCAGATGACCTTCTGTGTGGATCAGAATCTGACATGCTGGTTTGAGGATTTGGGTGAGAAATTCACTTTGTTGTTGCTTTGCTGGTTATTTTTAATTTCCAGTTTGAAGTTGCAATTAGTTTAATCTAAAAATTATACTTGGATATTATGATGTTGTTATTGGGATGTTTACCCTGACCCTAATTAATACTTGGAAAAAAAGTCCAATTGCCAGAAGGGCCAGAGGTTGTGGCTACTGAAAATTACTCAATTATTGCGTCTCATTCAAAGTTCAAAATATCATTTTGTGCCTGGGGTAATGTATTCAAATCCTTTAACCACTCTGGACCCCTGCAACCATAAATATTTCATTGTATTTAATGCCATTAATCGATTCAATATTGGAGTAAATGGTCCAACACAAAACCCCTGAATGGAATCAGTTACACAATACAGTCATCATACATTGCTACGCTATTGAGCCCGTTCGTCTCATTCTTTTCAAAACATTTCTCCACAGGCCGGCCACTAAAGAGGCAGCGGAGGGGTGGGAAAGGGACAGAGAAAGAGAGTGAGAGAGATAGAGGTCTGTGAGTTACAGTGGCCCTGCCCCTGAATCTCCACTCCAGCAGCGCGGGACCCCTCGCCTCCCTGTGATACCACGTCCATTGGGGACTCATCTGTCTGGCGCACTGTCTTTGTACTTTACTGTTACTGGTGACATTTTGGTGTCACGGTGTCACGATGAAATGGCTCCCCTCCCACGTCGCAGCCCGCGGCGGCGCAACCATTGGAACAATAAGGTCCCGAGGAGTTGGGGCTGGAACCCAGGAGGCCCCAGCTGGGCGCAACGCCCTAACCCTTCCCCCTCCCCGGCTCCCATGAAATTGGGAATTAGTCGAAGCGTTGCTGACGACAAGTCAGTGTCTGTGTGTCCCAGGCTATTCCCAGGGCCCGGCAAAGACCCGGGGTAAGGAGAGACAGAGACACAGATACAGCGACCAAGGGATGGGAGCTTTCGGGGTCATGGGGGGCAACCTGTATGTACTGCTTTGACCTCTGACCTTAGCAGAGATTAAACTGTGTCTCACCCATGGCACTGTGGGAGAGTGAGTCATCTCTGGTGGGGCTGGCATGGGTCAGCAGAAGGGACAGTAGGCTTACTGCCATGTTATTTTTACAGTCACTCAAAGTGGATGATGCATTTTAGCTGTATATGTAATATGTTGTCTGTCTGTTGTTGTGGAAATGACAGCACAGGATATCATTTACTGTACTTAAAAGTAAAGTGCACCAATTTTTAAAAATCTATTTCTGAGTAGGTCAACAATTTTTTCTCTGATTGTTCTATTCAGTTTAGTCATCTCAACATGACATCGACCATCCAGATGTTTGTGTCCAATCGAAAGACATTTTATCTAAAACTCTTAAGGTGTAAATTTCTTTTCACCTGTAGAAATGTTAGCATTTCAATTTCAGTTTTTAAAGGTTCTTGAATAATGATGCCAGTGATTAAGATTATAAATAAACATACATTGACTGAAATCATTATCGTCAATGAACATACGACTAAGTGAAAGAAGTTATATATTATTCAAGAGAGGTGACTTTCTTTGTATTTAACCTGTGCTTATTTATAACAGTGTTCATTTTATGTACTGTACAAACACAAAAGCAGGGCTCTCATCTTCAAAGATAAGTATGCCACCAGGAACTAGTCTTACCTTGGGATCCTCAAGGATGCCAGACTCGTAGCTGTTTAGAAACATAGTTTAGAGAATTACCATCCTTTTGAATTATGATTGAGAAAAATAGGATATTGAAACACTAAAGACGGTGTGTCGAACCAGTCCTACGCACCTTATATGCATGAGGTTGGCATCCATGCTCCAGGGTGCCCGAGGAGTGACAGGAACAGGGATGCCATGTTTCTACAGTTTGACAGAGAGAGCAGCTGTTATGTGGCATACTGTTTGCCTGTAACCTCACTGCACCTGAAGGTTGCAAGAAAAGCTTTAAATCAGAGCTAAACTTGTCTGTTGACAAAGTCCTGAATACAGGGGAACCAAGCAAACTATTTCAAGCAGCTGGTTTACGACATGCTGTGTAACCAAAATACATCTGCCTCTTGAAACTACTTTCCTTTGTAAGATTTCACATTGAAAAGAGATACAACAATCAAAAAGAAATACATTTTTGGTTTGTTCAAAGGAAAGGTCAGCAATTCAGTGTTTCAGGATTGCATGATTTCACAAGTTCTCCACACGGAGAAAGGTGTTCACTGAAACATCATGATCACCCTCTGGTGGGCAAAACCAGTCTAGACCACCACCTGACTACTACTGGCAACTAAATGGTGAAGTGATTTCATTTATTTGTTCAAATACTGTTGAGCATTTGTTAACACATTTGGTTAACTCTTTATCGAGCCCTGGGCAGATATTAGATGCAGCATGGGAGATACATAAAGATTCAAACAGTTTCACACAGAGCAATGACAAGTGGGAGAGCTAAATCAGAAATCAAATTAAAGTCACTATACGTATAGACACAAAGTACAGGAGGACAGTATAGGAGAGTATTCAGCAAGTGGGAAGAAAATCTATAAAAAAAAACTGAAATAAGGAAGCTATATACACAATACAATACCCTTGGCAGATATTTCTAAATGTTTCTTTTATAATGTAATGTATGTATCTTTCTTTGAATATTTTACAGATCTAACAATGAATCAGTACTTCCATGTTTGATAGACGTATAATTAATAAAAGTGATCTAGGCACCAACAAACTAAATTTTATATGAATGCTGTGGCTCATTACTGATGGAGTTACCTGTGCATATTCCATCAGGTCTATTCTTCCCCGGAAGCGGTTGTAGAACTCAGGGATCCTCCACGGTGCAATGATCTGAACCGCACAAACAGAGAGTGACTGAGTGTGTCATCCTTGCTGCAGCAGCATCAACAGATGATCAACACAGGCAGTAACCTCACTACTGTCCAACAGTGAACTCACCTTAACCTCGGGGTAGAGGGCGTAGCATGTGAGCTCAAAACGTATCTGGTCATTGCCCTGAAAAACAGTGAAGGTCATATAGTTGAGGTCTATGCACCAAGCGTGAGGTACGTCAGTGTTGGTGGTTTAAAATCAACAGTTTAAGTGTGCACAGTGGTAGCTGAGTGGAGGTATTGCCCATGTCTGAATGACGTGACAGATGTCAGGATCACATCCTCTCTGTGCTTTTTAAAAAATATATATTTCCTTGTACAGTGTTCTGTCTCTTTCTTCATTATTGGTGTCAAAATACTGAAATCAAATCAAACGCTTGGATGGTTCAGGCACAGCCGAAGTTGGTTACAAACTATTACTGGAAGTCAGTTTTGTAACTTCATGATGTGGTGTTTGTCTCCATCTACAGGCAAAATATGAACACTGCATTTCAACTGACGGCCAGACAGTCCTGGTTCCATAAATTGAAACTAGGAAAAAAATTGTAAAAAAATAAAATAAAATAAAAAGGACTGATAAACTGTATATTAAAAAAACTAAATATTAATACAGTGGAAACTTCTTATAGTGATCATTATTACAGTGATCAACTGCTCATGTGGATCAAAAGGCTTGGGACAATACAAATGCTGTCTAAATAATCCACTTATTATAATAAAGTACTCATTCATTTTGGGTTTATTCATATACATGACAACTTATGGAAAAAGATGGAGCAATGACTGCCTACTCTCCCAACATAAGCTCACTATGTCAGAGTGTGTGTCCGTATGTGTGCTTGCTGTGCACACTCACATACCATGTGATATCTTGACTGCTGTGGCTCAGTGTGTTCTTTTGACCTCCTACTCTGCTTGCATTTTGGGACATTTACAGTGCGTAATTATGGTCTCATCGCTCTCACAACAGCATGTCTATTAATAGACCTGCTGATAATGTAATGATTTCACCCTCTTAAATTTTAGTTTAGTTTATTTATTTTATCTTTAAATCAGTAGAATAGTGAAGCTGTCTGTTTCATTACTTTATATTCATGTAATAAACATACAAATGTCAATTAGATGGTAATCTGCATGTGAAATGAAGAAAAAGAAAGAACTGAGCAATTTAACTCAGACAGAAGTGATCACTAAGTGATTTCCACTGTATATGATTTCTTCTGAATTCAATCACACTGGATTTTATTATTTTCAGTTCAAATGTAAATATAATTTTACTCTGAGAAACTTCATAGCACACTGACTTAATATTTCACTTTATATTTTTGCAGTTCTACGAAAACACGTCAGAATAGATTATGTTCCATGTTTAATTCTAAGGCATATGTTAAAATAGAGAATGTAGTGCTGTTTAGCAGCTCATTGGGCTGTAAAGTGTGACAAATTGTTCTTGTAGCACATGGAAACAGCACAGAACATCTGGCAGGGAAAATCATGGATTCCAGGCTAACTTTTCACTCTTTGGTGGCACATGCCACATATTTGCATTTTCCTTTGAACTGCAGTGACTTATTTCCTATAGCTGATGATTTGTGCTGTGTGAAGTAAAGTGCCAGCCACAGAACGAAGACGTCTGCTTCAGATTCTCATGGAACCATTTTCTGTTTTTAGATGACCAAATAGAGTTGTGAATGAGGGAGGAGGGAAATGGCTCCAGAAAGAGTAGACTTCTGAATTACTGTTGCAGTTTGGTTAAAAAGAGTTAATGTTCAACCCTGAAAAAATATGGCCTAAATCCTTGTGTTCAGACTATGGACAGTGGTCTTGTTTACTTATTTAGAAAAACAGCACAGCTATTCCAGTGTAGTAAACTGTACAAAGTGGTTGTGTGATATACCCCCATCTCTCTCTTTTCTGTTCCAGCTCTACAATAAAGCCAAAAAAAATTGATAGAGAGACAGAGAATACATTTCTCTGTCTTTCTCTGCCATGTTATTATGGCTTATTTCAGTACTGGCCTCTGGGATTTGGTTATGTTAGCAGATTTGTGCCTATTCTCCTCCGTCAGGGTGTAGTCTTATTGTCCTGTGTCCGGGTTTACCTTTCCTGTGGCACCATGGGAGACAAACTGGGCACCCTCCCTGCGTGCAATTTCAACCTGACGGCGGCCGATGCAGGGGCGTGCTACCGCAGTGCCCATCAGGTACCGGTCCTCATACACAGCATTGGCCTGAACTGCGGGCCAGATGAAATCCTCCACAAACTCTGCACGCAGGTCCTCAATGAAAACCTACACAGGAACAGAAATCAGGACACAGAACAGAGCTTTGTGCTAAGTCTTTGATTTATTGCATCAGTGTGATATTTTCATGTGAGAAATATTTTATGAATTATTTACAATATCTTTCCCCTCTAAGAAAAGAAAAAACTGATGATTGTTTGACACAAAACAGGTTTGTCTCATAAGCATGTGATATGAGTGCAGGAAACCTTTCACACTCAAGAGTGAGAATAAAGCAGCTATTAAATTACCTTGATTACAGGAGTCCTATGACATTACTTGACGAGACATGGTCTTGTTCAGTTCAGAGTTTCATTACCATTGCGTGACAAGGCCATAGAGAACATTTTAGAGACACTTTGTCAAACAGTGATGACCTATGGTGCGGGAAATCAACCCCAGAAACAAATAATAGGCAAATATGAAAAAAGGATCAAATGAATTTAGTACCATACTACAAAAAGATTCATATTTAGTTTTTTCCCACCAGCACATGAATGCTAAATATAAAAGTACATGTGTGACATACCTGTATGGGGATAAGGATTCTTGTCATCTCTCCCCAAAATTTTTCATATGAAAAATGTATTTATGCAAGCATAATTTACTTGTAGAAATGTTTAAAAAACTTGAGGTATTTTTTAGAAAAATGCTGGGTAGGAATGTTAAAAATGACTGATCCTTAAATCATATTCTAGCTGCTTAAGTCGGCTATTATTCTAATGTCTCTCATATTCATCAATAGCAAAATATTTTATGATATTTCATTCTGTCTCTCACCTTCTTTGCACCAAGGCTTTCTGCCTTTTTCCGGGCAGCTTCAAAATCTTCATCTTGCCCAATGTTGGCCTAGAAAGACACACATTTATTTGTAAATCAAAGTGATGCAATTGTACAAATTTTCATTCATAACTACCATACAAACTACATTAACACTATGAAAAACCAAGAGCTGTGCAGTTACTTCATAGCTCCTGTGGAACAGAATATAACCCCTACACATATAGACATGTACGCACATGCAAGTGATGTGGTAATTCTGACAATCCTCCATATTGTAATTCAGATCACGTCCGTTGAGGAGATATAACAGCCTCCTCACAGCTGAAACCAGCCATGAATTCCACTTGAAGGCGTGAAGAGCTGTCTGAGCTGAACACATATTATGGGACTATTTACACAAAAAACACATGATACTGATCAGGTAATTACAGCTGACAAAACCTGCAGCTCAGACACTTTAGTATGCCTTTAACATTTCAGTACTTGAGTACTATCTGTTTAATTTTAATGTTTGATCATACATTCACAGTAGCTTGTGGAAAGATATATATATAGTACAGTACAGTACAGTATATATGGCACAGGACTATTGCCTGCTATTCCTCTTCTTCTGTTCCCCTGTAGAGTCTAAGCCAAAAAAATGTAAAGGGTGGCACCTAACATGCCACTGCAGTGAACTATAGACAATCACCCACCCCGACACAAAACCAATGAATGAGAAGTTAGACAACAAGAAAATCTGCCTGCTGTGCAGTTCTGAGCTGCCCCAGGGCAAAAAGTAAATCCAGCTAGATTTGCGCTGGCATTATGAAGCTAAATCCTGTGGTTGGAAGTTAACTGGTCATGTAGCTCTGATAGGTTTTTTAGGGCCAACTCTCACATGCATGTACGACAAATTGCATCAGCTGTCTGAAAACAGTTAATTGTAAAACCTCAGCTATACATGACAGGCAAAAGCAGCTGTTGCAGAAAAAGACACCTGTTACACACACACAATGCTCCCTAAACATTACCAAGTATGTGATGACATCGTAGCCCTCTTCCTTCAGCCAAACCAGAATACACGATGTGTCCAGTCCACCGCTGTAGGCCAGAACCACTGTACCTTTAGACATGATGAGGGCTGTTCAGTAAAACAGGGAGAAACTGTAAAGTGAAGAGACAGCAGGGAGTCAGCTAAATTGGTTAATAGTAACCAAGCTGGGAAGGAATAGTGAATGTATAACACAAGTGTACTTGGGAGTTAAAACAACTTCCTATGATATAAAATCTACAGTAACACGTGGCAAATGTGATCATGCAATTTATCAAGAAACATTTGCTGCCGATCCAATTTCTTACATATAAGTATTTGCTGCTTATACTTTAATAATGACCGCTGAACAAACAAAATATGCGATTTGTTGATGTCGCATGAGATGTGAACGTGTTATGGCAAATTTTTACTATTTTCTTACATTTTAGAGACTAAATGATAGGACGACTGGATGGCACTCTAAACAGGGAAGGATATATTCATCCTCTCAGGAGGATGTATCAGTGATAATTGTGCTTTACAACATTGTGCCATCCATTCTTGCAACCAGTGTTATAAAGTTTTATAGCTTTAAAATTAAGTTTCTCAGTCTGTCCTCCTTTGTTATGCCTTACTTTGTTTTGTTACTGGTAGTCATTTTTAACAACCTTTTCCCAAATTAACAAAATCACACTTGCCACTATCATTTGGTTTTCAAACCATACTAAAATGAGCTACACTTAGCAAATCCACTATTTCTGGTATATTGTTCCACTTAACAGAATAGGCTACACCTTGTATTTCAGGTAGAAAGCAAGGTTAGTCATCACCATAGTTTGAGAGGGCTAATGACATTTTCACGAGGTTTCCTCAAATTCGGACTCACCAGAACTCAGGTGAGTGAGGAGCTGGGAGACGTTATGGGAAAGTTTGTCTTTCCACATAAACAAAACGGTTTACTTCACGGTCGCTGACCATCACTGCATCAGTTTGTGACTCTCACTTATCAGTTTGTCTAGCTAGCTGCTTTGACTTAATTAGCTGAACACATGCAATGCCACCACAACAAAACACATACACAATACTGTCTTTTTACTACAAAAACGGTACATTTCTCAACTACACGACGGAAACAGGCTGAACTTACCAATGAGTGTTTTTTCTTTTAACCTGGGAGATGAATATATATTATTCAGAGACGTTGCTGTTGCCGTCGGTGAGGAGCGGAGCAGAGTTGCAGCAGCTTGCCCAGCTCACATGCAATTTGACTCGCGGCTGCGGCGGTCTGACTGGTCCAGCTCATGTTGCGTCATCCACAGCACTCACGTGCCGCTGTTGCAGAGCCAAGTCATTCAAATACCGCCATGTATAATGTACATGCACTTCACCCACAGACAGTCATAATAGAAAAAGGTTTAATGATGATGATGATTAAAAGTAATATTGTGGAAATCTGTCTTTTGTGAGTCCCCCAACTAAATGGAGGTGCACAGTGGCGCAGAAAAAAATCTGGACACACTACTTGCAGCCTTTGTGGGCCCCCTTTTAAAGGGGGCCTATTATGCTTTTCTGAGCTTTTCCTTACTTATAGTGTGTTATTAGGTTTTTGTGCATGTAAATGGTCTTCAGAGTCACAAAGATCAAAGTTTATATCAAAGGGAGTAACTCTGTCAGGGTAAAAATCCAATTTTCCCACTTGAATGAAACGCCTCATTGGGGGTCAAGACTTTACTTCTTGGTCCTATTGACATCAGTACTTCTCTTGGTGCTGTCCACTTGCAAGCTTGGCACGCCCCCACACAAGGCACAGCACATAACTTCTTATGGTGAAGAGTTTTCATTATTTTTGTAGCCATGCCAAAAAGACATTTCCTGCAGAACTCTACTTCTTTTTCCACGGTTCTCCACTGCTCCAAACATTACAGTGTAAGCCCACACTTCAAGGAGGACTGCTTCAGAAACCACTCACAGTTAGATGTTTCATTTTCACAATGGTTATTTCTGTAATTCCCACTTGATGTGGCTGAACAGGGGACTAAGCATCACAGCCTGTCGCTCTACATTGTTATCGTGGATGTTAAGCACTTTCCCACAACCTGACCGCATCCTGATTATGTTAGTAAGAAGCAGCATAGCAAAGATATAAATGCTTAAACATTTGTCAGTGTCCACATGCTGTACCTCGTTAGCTCAGATAAATTATCCACAGTTAAGCCACTGAGTTCATTTTTCACGGAAAGTGTTTTTGACATGGTAGTTGTCGGTAAACTGACCAATCAGAGCACACTGGGCTCCAGTTCCAGAGGGAGGAGGGGGGCCTTAAAGAGCCCTGAGCTCTTACAGAGCGTTTCAGACAGAGGGTGAAGAAAGAACAGAATAAAATGTACCGCAGAAGAAAACTAATGTCTTTTTCAGAACATTAAAGGATGTAAATCTTTTTAAGTTGACACCAAGAATGAAATGATTAACACTTAAAATGGCCATANAAGCCACTGAGTTCATTTTTCACGGAAAGTGTTTTTGACATGGTAGTTGTCGGTAAACTGACCAATCAGAGCACACTGGGCTCCAGTTCCAGAGGGAGGAGGGGGGCCTTAAAGAGCCCTGAGCTCTTACAGAGCGTTTCAGACAGAGGGTGAAGAAAGAACAGAATAAAATGTACCGCAGAAGAAAACTAATGTCTTTTTCAGAACATTAAAGGATGTAAATCTTTTTAAGTTGACACCAAGAATGAAATGATTAACACTTAAAATGGCCATAATAGGTCCTCTTTAATATATCCATTGTCAGGGTCATGTAAATAGAAGGAGCAGTAATGCAATACTTTTAACATGTTAGTGACATTCAGTGATTACATTTCTGTTATTTCTAACAGATTTCTAACACATTTCTAATCCCATCGATGCTGTGTTGACATTAGGGGGGCAGTTTATTCGCTATCTCACCAGTAGTTCTTAGTTCGTTCGGCTCATGTGGTAAATGTTAGCCACAGGTGGCCATGAAATAGTGCCCCTAAGGTGGTAGGCACACCAGTCAAATCATTAATACCCAGGTGTGAGGCTGCGCCCAAAAATTATTTGACAAATAATTATGGTTTACTTTATAAAATTGCATCGCATTTTACCCAGTGTCTCCTACTACTCACCTACTTTCTGTCCTCACATACAGTATTTTAATACAGCCAAGTTTCCAATAAAGCTGCTCTCTCTCCACATGAGATGTTTGAAGAGGAAGCGTCTTTTGAGTGATTTTGAGTGATTTTTGTAATGGCACAGTTCACGAAAAAAGGTTGGGAACCTTTGGTTTGCATTGTACTTTATAAACTTAGATGTTTTTTAGAGTTAAATCTCAACAGCATCTAGTAACTACAGCTGTCAAATAAATGTAATGGAGTAAACAGCATAATATTTCCTCCCAAACTGCAAAGAAGATGTATAAACAAATAAATAGAAAATGAGGCTCGGAAAGGCAGATGGGTGAAGTCAGCTCCCGTTAAATTAACTAAATGAATTAAAAGAGGTTGCTGCTGCTGTATTGCAAATTTTTCTAGGTCAAGTGGAGGGCCCAAAGACAATATTAGTAAGGCTGGGCATGACCTTGCTTTTTTAAGACAAAATTAAACAGGATTTACTCCCTCCCCACAACAAACTGAAATAATAAGGTCTTTATGTGATTTCTCTGGGCCTCTCTAAAACAGAGGGACACAGCATAAAGTAATAATATCTCCACCTTGTCTGACATTGTACTTTGGTGGTGCAAATTCCTAGATATTCCCAACTCTGCAATTAACCAAATGACCAAAACCAGTAGAGACCCAGTTAAAATGGATTAGATTAAGGACAAATTCTGTCAGATTGTGGCCTTAGCTACATTCTTTTTGATTATATAAGTCTGTTCATGATTGTTAAGTAATGTCACATCCGGTACCACATTGCAGACATATTTATAAATGGCTTATAAGTTATCAATAGGAAAATTTAGAATATGACACATTTAGATTAATATATGATGAATGCAGTAAATTAGGAAAATGAAGTTGCCAGATTGTCTTCAATGTATAGGTAAGATACTTTTGACATTTCCCATTTGTACACATATGCAAGCATTTATGCATCCACTGCAATAGAAATTTATACACAGAGAAATTGGCTTTAAAGGATATTGGGTATTATCTCCTACTTTTTCATCATTTTTTGTAATGGCATGCCAATTTTCAACTAGGTGGTGCCAGTGACCACTGATATTTCCTTGATTAGTGGAAATAAAACTCCAGTCTTTCAAGAGCAAAACATATAACTGTTCTTCCAACTAGAAGTCATTCTGGAGAACTCCATCCCCCAAATAAACTGCATAGATTTGACCCTTAAACTCATAGACTAATCTGCCAAGTTCACAAAGGACTTTCTCTTCTGCTACATCCAAACCAGTCCGGTCTTAGTCTTTTCTTCTTTCTATATCACTGGAATATTTTCAGCTAAAAAAGGTGCTAAATAATTTCCAGTCAGGAACCTGATTAGGTCAGTCCAGTAAAAGCTGTTTATTTTTGTTTGTTTTACCATATCCATTGTCCATGGCATCTTTTATGAAGTTATAGGGTTAAGATATGTCTGTCTGACAAGAAAATAACTGTTATTTTCAGCAGTTCAACTGTAAACAACACACACAAAACAATGTTTCTCATAATAAATCAGTAAATTTATGATATATATATATAAATAATGGCAGCAATCAAAACACAAAAAAATATCTCACAGATATCAGAACTGTACATACGTACTGAAATTTATCAATGTGGCTGAATATGAAATGCTCCATTGCATTGAACTGTTACTGCAGTAGTCCATTAGAGGTCAGTATTTTCTCAAAGTCTCTGACCTTGAATCAAACTGCCACTGTCAGTGGAGGCTCATTCCAGTGCCTGTCCAATACAACACCTACAGTATGTATACATTTTGAACTCTTCAAGGCTGCAATATGTAACAAACAAACAAAACCTATACATGTGTACTATACTGCATGATGGTTCTGTGCTAAAAATTTACATTGATTTGACTATCTGGTCCACCAATGTCCTTCAACCTCTGAGAGCATCTTAAGAGCTAAAAACCTTGACTGAGACAGTGACTTTATATTTTTTTTTTATTTTTTATTTCTTCGCCATCAACTTCCAAAATCAAAAAACAAATGATCAAAAATACAATATAAACTTCTGTAAATCAATACACTGAATATTTTTTTTTTTTTTAATTTTCTTACACAGGGCAAAAAACACTGAGCAAAGACAAAGTTCAGGTGGCTAGTGACTCTGCTTAGTCCTCTTTGCTTGTCTAGATCGCAGAATATGGTTTCACAAACGTTGAGCCTCCCCCCTATTGTCCCCGATCATATACAGTTCACTAGTTAGGCATTTGCCAAAGACGAACAGTACAAAGTGCCCAATAACAAGTCCTGGAGCTAACAACTGTGTTGAAATTTTCAATCAAGCATGACTGCAATCCACCACTATACAATGTATACGCCCCCCCCCCCTCCCCAGATTCAGCTCCCCATGTGACAAGAGTCAGTTGAGACTGAAGGTGTACAGATGTACTGAAAAGGTTGGGTGGAGAGAAAAAAAAAAAAAAAAGAAGGGAGATGAAACCTGGAGAGTCAAGGCAAGTTGCTGTCAAATCAGTGCCCAAGTTTTCAGGATCAATATGGTGAGTAAGTCTCAGACACTCCAAGATCCAACGACAGGAAAAGATCAGCATCCATAGGGGGAACCCAAACTGCTGCACTCTCTCCACTTTACCAGTTTTATTCAGAAAATCTGAAAATTAATCTATGATAATTTATGGCATGACACCCATAAAATACAATAAATTATTTTTATTCACCTTCTGAAGAGAGAACCGATAACTGTTTTCGTCCTCTTATCATCCATTAATAGTTTTTTTAGCACTATGAAATACAATTGCTTTTTTAAGGGCTTAGAAAAAAAATCTGCCTTTTAAAATGTTCAACTAAAAAATAAAAATAGCAGTGGAGTGGAAAATGTGAGATGGTGTCTGTGGATTTGGCCAAATAAAAAATGAGCTAGAAAAAAAACCTTTGTACCCTGATGGGGGGGGAAACTGGAGGAGAGGGAGGGTCTTTGTGTCCCGATCGTGGGGGAAGTTAGTGGTGCCGAGCAATCCTCGCATCTTATCCTCCTCTGCCTACCACTCTTTCTTCTTCTCATCCATGGACACTCCGCCAGGCCCCAGTGCAACCACCAGCAGCAGGCCACCAATGACCGAGGTGGTCTGGAAGAAGTCATACTTGAGGAAGTCATGCATGGGCTTGTAGGCGGGGATGGTCCAGAAAGCGTTGAAGTAGACATTGATAGCCAGAAGCCACATCACGAGGGTCAACGCCGCGAGCTTGGTTTTGAAGCCGATGGCCACCAGGATGATGAGGGCAGTCCCCACCATGTTCTGCAGGATCTGAAGAATAATGCAAAAGTTCAAGATTGAAGAATTAGAGTATGTGCTTCAGATTTACCATGATGAACTAACAGCACATGATCATCTCGAGTGACACACTATATAATCTAGAGACAATAAATAAAACAATGGTATAGTATCTACCATGAACAGTGTCCAGAGTGTTTCACAATAAAACAGAGTCTGAAGAAACAAATAAGGTTACAGAACTTGCTGCAGTTGGTTTGCATGTTTTAAAAGACAAAATCCAGACTGCTGAAGTAACGCAGACTTAATTTATTCAGGCAGTCTCATTGAGATCAAGAGCTCTTTTGTTTTACTTAAAATTATTTTCTCCCTCAAAGTCACTGGATTCGGTGCACTATGCTATCAATATGTTGTTAAAATGAACTAAGAGGTTGCAACTGAAAAACAAACTCAAAATTTCACCTAACTTCTTCAAAATATCCATATTTGCCTGTTTGACGTTTTCAGCAGCTAAATCTCAAAATCCAGTGAGGTTCCTTCATTAATTTTAAACCAAGGTAAGTTTTCAAAATAGTCTTTGCTCACTACGTGTGTGTGAACAAGATGCAGAATGTAGGAGTGCTTGGTGCCGTCAGTACTCACAGAAAAGAAGCTGGAGTCAAAGTGTAGCAGAGTCATGAACATGAGCACTAGCAGTACTCGACCGCCCAGCTGCATGTACTGCTTTGGCGAACTCTCTCCCATGGAGGGGACTCCAGCAAACATGCTCTTTCCTTCCGAGCGAGACTCAGCCAGCAGCAGGAGCAGACCACCTCCAAGGGCAAGGTTTCTGGGAGAGAGGAGGGAGAAAACGGTTATTTTTCCACAGTATATCAATAAATCAGCAAACTGCCTCACACCCTTTATGCCACACAAGGCCAGTTATGTTTGGGAGTTGATCAGCTGGTGTAACTTAATACATGAAATTCTAATAAACATATGACTGCTCTTAATTTGTTAACTAAGGCAGTTTATTTACTTAGTTTACTAGAACCACACTGAGTGACACCTACCTCATCAAAAATTTAAGGTCCCATAAAATGCTGTATGCGACGGTCTGGTGGAAAAAAGACAAAAATATTTCAGATTACACACGATGACATATTGTTGCGTATGAATATTTAAAATGTAGATTTAATGTCATTATTCTCACCTGTAGTGCTATGATGCCAAATAATCCAAAGCAGGCATATTGTACAAAATTTCTACTGAGGATGAGGACACAGCCACCTGTTAGGACACACAACAAGGCAAAGGCATGTAAAGTTCTGGCCACTGTGGTGGAAATACACTTTGTTTTATTCTTAATTTTTGTCACTACAACAAAAAATGCCATCATAAAACATAATTTTCCATGTTATCTGAATCAATAATCATTAAATATTTTGTGTTAAAGCCACTTAGAAAAATTACAACAAATTCCACTTGCTAGTGCACTTGCAGAGAAGAATAGTTTATAGTTTCAGGCTTATTAAAAGGGTATTCACACTGTGTTGTGGGTGCTGCTTTATCTGCCATAAGATAAGACTATTTAATTTGGTAGACAAAGCAGCAATGTGGCAGGATAGGTCTGTGGATGTATACTGTTTAGGCCAAACTCAGCATGTCTCAACAGAAACCATATTCTGGTTCATACATGACAAAAATGGTCCCTGACATCTGATGTCTGCATCAGCCAATCTACTTCAAAATTTAAGGAGCTTCTCCAATACTTAACAGTTTGTGGACAAGTGGCCCTGTTGGCTTCATTCAATAAATCCTGTCAGTCTCTTTAATCAGAAAGATGATTTATATGCCAGAAGTGAAGTTCACTGTTCTCGTGTTTATTGTACAACTTTCTGCAAACTGTAGGCACAACGGGGCTAAAATACATCATAAAATGAATGACTGTAGCTCATTTTTCATCTCATTCTGCTAGCATTAAAAAAATATTATCTAGCAATTTGACTCACTCCTCTTATTGTTGTTATCAGAATTTGTGTCACACATCATCCAGTAACACTAAAACATGCAACTTCCGACAACAGTAAAATGTGAGTTGTCTCATCTCTTAACCTGCCTCCCATTCACTCACCCAGCTGTCCTATGAGGTTAAGCAGCACAAAGCACGTAGCCAGGAAGTAGCCACAGCTCCAGGTAGCCTCGATGTAGTCTCTCTGCTCATTCCACTGGAACCACATGCGGATGCCATCCTCCAGGAAGGTGCTGATGAGACACAGACGCGCCAGGTGGGGCAGGTACTGTTTGGTTACCCGCAAGAACTGTCCAACAGAAGAAAACCAAGAGGGTAAGGGTTAAATAAGAAAAAAGATGACGTATAAAGAAGAACGATGAAAAGGATGTGGTTACTGAGGAGCTCGTGAGATTGCTTATGACAGCAAAACTGTGAAACAACACTTTACTAGGTCACCAAGTAGTAACACATCATGTAACTGAATTTCTACATAAGTCCCCTGAAGATTCCCTCTTAAAAACCCAATAATATTCTGGCTCGGTGCGGACTGCTTCTAATTATTATTTATACTGTCAATTATAGGGATAGGAATTAACCCACTAGTCACTGCAACCATCATGCTAAGTGAATGTCGAAACAGTAGTCATTTAATAGGATAGGCTTTGCTTGGGAAAAAAAACAAGTGTCGATCCACTTGTGATGTAAGAGAACGTGCAAGACACTTTCTTAAGTTACGGTAGTTATGCATGCAATCTGTGGGGCAAGTTTTTACTGCAAGTAACTGCAATAAAGTAAGTGCATAATGTAGATAGGTTGTGCTCTCTATTTCTCCATTTTTAAACTAGTCAGGAATTCTCTTTTAAACATCAATAATAATACAATCACTTAATTGTGTGAGTGTTAGACATATGGTTCTCTCTCTCTCTCTAATCTTCATGTTGAAGAAATAAAAACCAATAACTAAAGCTAAAAAAGGAGTTTTCACTAATAATTCTAACTGGAACTTAACATAGTAACCTGATGTAACTGATTTCAAAAGAGTAAGGAAAAACATGCAGGGTAGAACTTCTGTTGTTTGCTACAAATCTTAAGACAATAACAACAGGGTTGTGCCTCCATATTACAACTCCAAAAGACCCCTTTGTATGAGTTGAAGTTTGCTGAATGCTTAAACAAGAAAAATACCCTATGTTCTTCTCTCAAACAGAATTCATGACCAGATTTTCAGATACTCCAGTGGCACAGTGAAGGAGCAGTGACCTGCCCCTTTCCCCGCCTACTCAGCAGTCCACATCAGCACTGTCAGACCTCAGCGGCCTATCAGTGTTCACCAACTCCCACTATGACTGCTGAGAGGGACATGAATGGACGAACTGGGAACCAATCCGTACAAGCCCAGGGTTGCTGCAACAGCCTAGAAATAGACCATGTAAGTAACATGTTAGCTCAGGACCCATTAGTGAGGGATGTGCCCTTAAAATGGGCTTAGCAGAGTTCTTTACGAAGCAAACAAACCAGGTGTTGTAAAAGACATTACAGTTTCTTCTTTCAAGTCATTTTTACAATGCACAGTACTTGTGATAGGGGCGTTTAAATCTATCAGGTGTAATTGTAGAGCATTCTCTGGCTTATGGTTTGAGTTCAATCAACACAACTGGCATAAACATACACAGAACTGACTCCAAGATTTGATATTTGAATTGACAGTTGTCGTCCAGGAATGAAGTCTGGCATGTCCCACAAAAACATAAGGCCTTGAATCTAGCACACAACAGTAGAGCACAGATGTGTACTGAGCCAGACTACAGTAACTTTTCAAAGAACCAAAGGTACGCCACATAAAACCAAATCTCTGGGGTTTTTCCCAGTCTGCACACTAACATGGGTCACAGGCTGACCAGAAATCTGATCTTGACATCTTAGCTCACTTCTTGTACACCCGTGCATTGCCTGTTGTCACGCCAATATAGCACACACAAAGACAAAACCAGCTACAGGAAAGCAGCTCAGGCATGTGTAATAGGGTGAAGGCAAGGATCACATCCAGTTTTGGGGTGACCTGGGTGGTGGAGCAGCTCTGTCACGGCCACATGCAGACGGAAAACCAAGTTAGAGACAGTACAAGCTTAAACCATCAGTCATGCAAAGCAGTTAGGTCCAAATACACAATATGACTTAAGACTGTTAGTCAATAACTTGGTAGCTAAGCTAGGTGAGTTCACAATTGCTGGCTGGCACTGATTCGCTTGTGATACTGTTAATAAACCGGGCGGCTACAGACGGCAAGCTAACTAGCAGCCAAATGTACACCTGTTAACTAAGCCTTAGTAAAATAAGTCAACTAAAGCTTAGTTAAGAATTTCACTTTGCCTTTGTGAAATGATAACGCTATCAAATCCACCTGGAGACGCATGACAGGAGCAGACACCTCAACCATTTATCATGCAAATTAAAAAACGAGTAAATAAGCTGTTGCGTTGATGCAAGGTCACGTTAATACTGCCAGCAAGCTACAATATACGTGTACAAACAACGATTAAAGGCGTCAAAATGTTGAGAGGAAACACTCTGAACCTGACGTTACTTCATTCTCAGACAAACTAGTTAGCGTCTAACATGCTAGCAGCGGCTAGCGTTAATAACTGTCGCGCTAAGGTTGAAGTTACCTGGTCCGCCACGTCTTCGGCTGTGTTCATGAGATCCTCCTGCCCCATGTTTGTGTAATAATACGAGTTTTAATAATTAAGGCTCAGCAACACAATTAAGATGTGTTGGATATTCCGCTCGGACTGTTCCTCCCCCCTGTTAACGTTATTTACTTGAAGATTTCCCGATCGCCTGGACTCAGAGAAAGGCCGCCTCCGCCCCACAATGCCCCGCGATTTGACGAAAGAGACAGGGCCCCCCTACATGGTACTGCAACCGCTGTCTGCCACGTATACTGAACAGTCCAGGGCCCTGACGCCGTTATCCAGCGTTGTTTACGGCTTTTACACATGTAAACAAACACAGATTTAAACCCTCAGCTCCACCTGAATTAATTTTTTTTTTTTTTTACTTATACTGTAAGACATTGTCATGTTCAACGCTCCAAACGTGCACACTCTTGTAACCCATGCAGCATTTAAAGATGGTTTCACTGTTTGGACAGATGTGCACTCCTCTTGTCTATTACAAGGTCTACTTTGTTCAGAGGTGGAAGAATCCTACATATTATAGTTAATACAAAATGATGATACACGTTCTGTAGACAGTCTGCTCCTGTGACATATTTTTTAAACAAATACTGGATCATTTGCTCAGTCATTGAAATGAAACCACGTGAGAATTAGAGGGTAAATGTCTTTGGGGGAACTCATAAACATCAGAAAAATAACAACTACACACTGATTTTTGTTAGAAGTCACAAAAAGATTGAGAACTTCTGATTTAATGTTTAACAGTGCATTATAGCTGAGCTTATCACATGTTGTTTTACTGTTAGCTTTGAAATAAATTTAGTGGAGTACATTTTGCTCTGAATCTCAGTGGAGTTGAAGTATAAAATAGTATAAAATGGAAATACTCAAGTAAAGTACAAATACATGCACTTCCTTACATTCCACCACTGAATTTGGTCCATTAATGCTATATGTAAAGAAAATGATGACAACATATTTAGTTAATTACTACTAATATACTGGTCTGACAAACAAACAGAAGCTTCAATATCGCACAACTGTCAGCCTGAAAAATTATGACAGGACAATTTTGCTTTAGTGCTGGACAACTTAATCATCGCAGTTTGCTTGATTTTACAGTATAGTGAAACCAAATACTTCTCATGAGCTTCCTCAAAAACCAACAACAATGCAGTAACTCTACAGTATACAGATAAAAAAAACCCCACATAATGTTAACAGAAAGTGCTTTGGTGAGGTGGGGAACCACAAAGCAACATCAATTCTCCTTGGAATACAATATTAAAGTCAATAAAACTGTGATGGATCACCATTCTTCCAAAAGATATTCCCTCATTTGGTGTTTTGATGATGGTGACCGAGAGTGCTATCTGACACGTCTGTCCGTAAGCCCCCATACGTGCTGAGCTGGGTTGAAATCTGGTGACTGCAAAGGCCACAACATATGCTTCACATGAGTTTCATCAAATCATTAAGTGACCCTTTGCTCCCTGTCAATGGGTGCATTGTCACTCTGGGTGACACCACTCCTCTTACGGTTTTTTACTTACTTAAGTAAAATGATGATGTATTTAAGTTTTTGAAATTTATGCTAGTGTCTACTTCTACTCCACAGAAGTGCAGATGTAAATATTGTACTTTTAACTCCACTACATTTGTTTAACAACTATCATTACTATTTATTTTGAGTTTACATGCAAAAATATAATTAACTTATAAAATCTCATGCAGCATTAAAGATGAAAGGCCCTGCATACTCACACAGGGTTTTTGAGTTTTGTGGCTGATTAGACCTTCTAAAGCTGGAGTGTAAAGCTACGTATGCTTGGATTTACATGAAGTAAATGTGTTGTAAAAGTAGTAAAAGTGTCATAAAGCCGTAACATGTTCTGTAACTAACTAACAGCAGAGTCCCTGAAGTCCCAGTTTTTTTTTGCAGGATCTTGCAGCTCCATAATTCCTCACTCTGAATGAGTGTTTTTACTTTTGATAGTTCAAGTAAATTATATACTTAAGCTGAAGTATCGTTTTAAGTGCAGGACCTTCATTTGTAAGAAAGTATTTTTTTAAATTATTTATTGTATTGCTACATTTAGTAAAACCTTTAGTAAAAGTAAGTAAAGCATCTAAGTAGCTCTTCTGCCACTTGTCACTTGTATGTCTACAAGACATTAAAGATGTTAGCTCAAAGTCAGCTTAGTCAATTAGGTATTAATATTCATGAACTTTTTGCTTTCAGCTAACTACTAATACTGGCTCTTATTAACACACACCTCTGGAGCTTGGTCCCCCATGTCAGATAGATATAACAGGTATGGTCACCACACCGGCCACACCTTCTTTAAAAGACATTACATTTGACTTTGGCTGACCACAGCTGTTGCCACAGAGGCAGACAAGATCCTTCTTGTCAGTTCAAATTAATGCAAAGGTAGTCTATTGTCTACTAAGAGTTCTCAGTGGACTTTGCTGAGTGGATGATGGCTGGCAGGCAACTGTACTGGGGTAAAGGTACATCTCAGAGACAACCTGAGGGCACAGATAGGTGGAAACTGCCAGTTACAACTAAAAGTAGCTTCTAGCTGGCTGAGTTGGGAGAAACTCCCTATAAATAAGGGGTGTCTCAGTCCTAATTTCTTGGTCCAATAGTAATTCTCAAAGCCTTTTAGTATGTCTGTGAAAAGTTACAAACAGTCCAAGGGACTTCTAAGTCACAAGGCCGGCTCACAGTCAGAAATGTCCTGCGCTAAAACGATAATAAACTTTTAAAATCATATTTTGATGGCAGAGATTTAATGATGATATAAAAATCCAACACTGGAAATGATACAATACACTGAATCAGCTCTGGACAGGCTGCTGCTGGGCCTCTCATTTCTGTGGAACGACTCCTACCAGCTCCACCTGCTTCCTCGCTGCCCCGGCCCCTCGTCAAAAAATTCTCCACAGTCCACTCCCAGCATGACACCATCTGCAGGCTGGAAAGAGACCATGTAACACAATAATGTTTGGTCGAGCTGGGTTGTCAATACATGTGACTGGCCCATAGTGGTGTAGTGTTGGCATTTGCAGAGTGAAGGACAGCCAGCTGAGAGAGAAAGGAGAAGATGTTGGAAAGGAGATGAAGTTGGTGGGACTATGATGAAGATATCTGCCATGAGAGGCCAGAGCTACATGTGAAGGGAAATGGGATGGAGGCGTTAAAGGGGCCATAGCTTACAGATGGCTTGTTAACTGTTAAGACCAAAGACCTGGACAAAGTCTTTAAACTCAGGAGCATGTACGCTTCCTGTTTGCCGAGCAGGATGATGCATGTGATGTTATTTAAATGCACAGCAGTAACTGTGACCAAGCTTTGAATATTAAGTATTCTGCACGTCTCTGCTTGTCCTCAGCAGTGCACGGAAAAGGAAATAGATGACATGATAGCACACAACACTATCACTGTTTCACTGCACAATAATTTTTTTTTTTTTTTTTTTTTTTTACAAGTTAAACTGCACATTAAACGAGAACAATTAATCAGCCGTTACATGCTGTACTGACTGGTTACTTGTTACTTACCTTATCTGCTGATGAAACATTAAAATATAACTTATGTGTAAAATATTCTGCAATAAATATACAAAAGGTAGAGGCTTGTTTTTGGGTAGTGTAACTCTCTTAAATGATTACTGATATATGGCCTGCAGCAGTTGGTCTCCCTGTCTTTGTTGGAACCTTAACATCTGCATTTCAAATGTGCCATATCATGCTCTAGAGCTGCTTTATGGGCAATGCTTGGTAGAAAAAAAACAGACACAGACAATGTTTGCAAGTCCAAACAGTTGTATTTTATGCCAGGGTTCCTGCTTGTGAACTAGGAAACACAACCTATCCAGTCCAAAGATGTGCTAACTTACACAAACACACGTTCAATGTCATGTAAACCTGCCTTGCTGAAACTGCAACCTTTGCAGGAAGAAAAAAAAAAAAAATCAGAAAACTCCTGATCTGTTGTGATATGTTAATGTGATGCTAAGACAAAGGTCAGGCTGGCTCAGACATAGAAATACTACACCCAACAGAGGTGTTTTGCTCTCTCACAAAGCACCAGGTATAAAAATACTATACAGATATGGTTTTACATTTTACTTTCCATTTTTCACTTTTCCATGTTTCTTCCGCCCTGATTTCCAGTGATTATTTCTGAATTTCTTCTGAAAGCCTCCGCCCTGGGCCTGAAAGACAAAAATATGAAAGCATTAAAAGAAAAAAATCATAATAACCTTGATAAAGTAATTCCCACACACACATGCACAAATGTTACCTCTACATACAGACCTTTTTGCGTTTCTGCACCGCCTGCTTCTCCACCTCCATTTCCTCGTCGTCATCTGTTTGGAAGTCATCTTCCTCCTCATCCCCGTCACCCTCCATACTTTCTTCTGCCGAGTTTTTTAAGGTGAACATGGATGCTGTGGGAAAAATATGACACAGTGTTAGAGCAAAGTAAAGCTGCAACTCTACAAATCTGTATATCTGGGCTCAGGTGCATTGGAGAGCCCAATTCTGTAACTTTTACAGTCCAACTAAATACCAAATTAAATTGTATAGCTGATTATTATCCACTCTTCTGATAGATGGTGTGTTTGTTAATCAGTAAATTCAATAAGTTTTGCCTGGAATGAAATCCTGCAATCTCTTCTTGACACACAGTCAAGCATTACAAAATAAAAGTGGACAAAGATCTCTACAGTGTGTGCACTTTGGATACTGACGAGGATAGAGGTCGCTCATGCTGTCTTCGGAGTCACTATGCTCCTCTTCACTGGATGAGGGTTCCCACGCGCTGTTCCCGTGTTTTGTGGCCCTCCCCCGACTGACCTCCTCTCCGGTGTCTTTGGGCTTTTTCTGATTCAGTCTGGCTGGAACGAATTGAATCCCCTGCTGCACACACTCTTCGTCTTGAGCAAGAGCGAGAATGAGACAGCTACGTCAGTGATGAAGTGACAGTGTGAATTGTCCAGCAGCTCATACTTGCAGTGTAGTACATGGAGTGACGTGTTAATCACTTAAAATGTTATGCTCGTATATGCACCTTTTTTTCAGGTTTTCAGCTCACAGTTGAAGACTCTATTTCACACGGCTAAATGTAAACTGCATATTGTTAATAATGATAGCACAAATGAATGGTTTCTATAAATAAAGAAATATTAACAATCAAGGTACACTGGCAAATACACATAAGAACTTAACTGGGGCGATTCAACAGTGTAAACCTGAAATAGATGTTAAAGTCCATCTGTATAAAATCTAAACTTTATGGGAATACAGTGACTACATAACTGCCTGGATGAGATGTGAAAGGCAGTGATACTACTGGCTATTTTGTTCAATAAAAATGGAACATGATAATATGTTGTGTCTGGTGTTTCTCATTTACTGCAGTCTTGAGCGCATCTCAGAACTAAATCCCAAATTATGTTTAAGAAAATGTTAGTCAGAGCAGATTTAGAACGATTTGTGTTCAGCAAAAAAAGTGGTGACAGAAATATTTGTTTTTAATGAACAGCTTGCAGATAGCTTTGATTTCCTCCCTGAATGATGGGTATCACGCCAAAAATCTAGGGTTCTATAAAATCTACAGGGTTCAAAATGTATCAATATCAGTAACCCAGCAGTTAATAACCTGTATTAAAAAAAGGTGCCATGCATGTGGATGAATGGTGCACTGACATTTGGTAAGGGCCTTCTTGAAGCGTTTTCCGTTGACATGTCTTAGGACATGGTGCGGCTGCCGGTTGAGATGTCTGAGGGTCAGTTTACAGAAGAGCTGATTGCTGTAAAAACACCCAGAGGCCAAAACATCAGAAAACACAATAGATGTGCAGATTAGTTTGACACATTCAGTAACAGACTGTGGCATTTCATTGGCAATTACACCGCTGCAAGGACAAACAGGTGTGGACAGAGTTGGTGCTTTCTTTTGCAAAATAACTGCATACTGACGGAGAAGAACATTTGTGGGAAAATAAGGCCAATCCTTACGGTTGTTTTGTGCTTTGCACAACGTGTGGTTCATACTGGCTGTAGTTGAACTCTGCTGCAGCACTCAGTTTCTCGTATTTCTTCCCTTGAGTGAACTTCTGCAGCTCCGTCAGGTTGCATGGAAACTCGTGGCCATTCAATGTGCATTTGATCTGAAACAACACGCAGGTGACAGATGTAGTACATTGTGGTACGGTTGATCGTGAAGTTCAGCTTGATGCAGCAATAAACGTGGTAATCATTTTCAGTTTATTTCAGCCTTGGTCAACACATCCAGCCATCACAACACTTCACAGTGCATGGCTCATGAGGTAAATTAGCATTACGGCTAGCATCACATAGAAAGTGTATTTCGTGCGGTGTGATGTGATGTAGTTTGCTCGCCAACCTTTTTGCCGTCTGTAAGCTGAAGGAAAGGGTGGTTAAGTAGAAATGCTTTGAGGTCCGAAGGTAATTCATCCATAGCTTAAAAACACCTGAAAACAGATCTCTTTAGTGTGTTGTATCAGGCCACCCCCCTACAGGAAATGTCCACACGTGGGTTGACTGCACAGACTGTGTTGCATGATATCTTGGCGCCACCCACTGATCAAAGTGAGGAAGGTCTGCTTAGATGAAAAGCTTCCTATTAATCTATCATCACGGTGTTATCAATAACGACAAAAAAAGACCTTCACTAATAATTACGGCTTCATGTCTCATAATAATGAGACTGAATAACTTTGATACTGAAGAAATATTAAAAACCTGATGATTCACCAGTAAATTCCGCTGAAATAAATAAGCCACATTTACGAGACAAGTTGTCAAAGTTGTTTCTCTACGGATACATTTCGCTAGTTTTTATTTGTTTATTTATTTCAGTAGCACTGTATTTTTCCTAAAGTACTAGTTTTTATTTAATTCTATCTATTCATTTATTAGCAGTGCATTTCTTGCGTTGAGTCACAGAAGCTTTTTTTTTTTTTAGCAGCACGTCCAGTCAGCTGACTGATAGGTCAGAGACAGAGAGAACGAAAATAAAAGAGGGTCCACTCTGCTCATATTTTCAGAAACGAAAAGTGTAGTACACATATAAACTGTGGCGAGGCGGCAGGAACTTGAAATTAAATTTGCTCGAAAACGGACACTCGTGATAGCAACGTAAAAACGTTTTCAAGTTCGTCTGCGGTATAAGTATGAAGATATTTTTACTCAACTACGTTTCAGATTATCTGTACAAAGTGAGTCATCTTTATTTGAAGTACAAACATCTTTGATGAGAACGTAAAGCCTCGCCTAGATTTCTCCCATAATCCATTGGTTCCGTAAACAAATCCCCGACGTCTTGAAATGACAGGTCAAACTATCTAACTAGCACCTTCCGCCTGGGATCTGTGGGTTTATCGAAAGCGTTTGAAAATAACGTTGAAGTTAATATTTATCATTGCATTCGGTGTCATCTTTGCTGAATTTGAATTGTTGCTCGCCGAGACATTTACTAATACCAGTTAGCTTGTAGCCTAGCTAGCTTGGCAGTACAAAAAGTAACTCTTTCTGTAACAAAGTAGCCTAATAAACGTGAATATTTGAATAATGTCTGGACCGAATGGAGATCCAAATATCTCTATCGACGATGGTATTATAAACGACGAGGATGAATTCGGCGATGAAGGTAATGAGCTGATATGTTCATTGTAATCGATGCTGGTAACGTTATTGCAGTAAACTGGAGAGTCCACCTTAAAACCAAATTCGGTGTGTTTTTGTAGTCACAATCTACAAAAACAGAAAAAATGGCCACAAGCAGTAATGTTAAATTTAGAGCGTCAAACGAAGACTTGATGTCAGGTGACACTGACTTTGAACAAGCTTAATGTTTTCATCGGATTTCTAATTTAGATGTTACATCCATTTCAGTTTATTTTAATGTAGTACCTAAGTTACTGAATATCTGCTCCAGTAATATCATTATTAGTGCTCCCATAGACTCTCACATTAACTTTTGTTGTGTTTTTCACTGTTTATTCAAGATTTATCTCCAGATAACATCAGTATTACTGTCTTTCTGCTTTTCAGCTCGAGATACATGTTCTTATCCACATATTCAAGTGATCTGTTCAATACTTCAAAAATAATATGATAATTCTGTTTAGAAATGCACTGGTATATGTTGCTAACAGCTATGAGGAGCAGTCAATATTCGTTGATAATGTCCTGAGATTGCCCATATTCTATACAGATGTCAAATCAGATGTATTGTTTATTGAGGGTGGAACTTGCTCTCCTCTTGTCTGTCTGTGCTAGCCATTTAGACAATAAATCAAGCTGTAACTGATAGTTCTAGCAAGTCAAAATGGATGATGGAAGTCTAAACAAATGGAGGTATGTGGGATAAAAAGATAGAAAGTAGTTTAGGTTATAAGACACCATTTTATAACCTAAAATTCATCTTTTATTTAAAAAACCCACTGTTTAGTGAGAGACCTCTTTGTTTTCCATGACAGCAAAGACTAAACTCTCTGCTTATCCACAGAGTACGTTGCCATCAACTCTATGCTAGATCAGATCAACTCTTATCTTGATGACCTGGAGGAGCGCAATGATGCACTCAATGGCAAACTGCATGAACTAATGGAGTCCAATCGGCAAGCCAGGCTGGAGTTCAGGGCCCAGCTGCTCGGCTCCCAAACCCAGGAGGAGCAGCATTCTGCAGATGGGGACTCCTCATCTAGCAAGAAGGACCTGAACGAGGACAGTGGAGGCTCGCAAATGAGTGACAAAAGCGGGTAGACGAAGGGGACTGAGTTCAGCAAAATGCAAGGATAGAAAATATTTATGAAAGTTGACTCAACTTCTGACCTCCATTTTTTGGACTAGTGACCCCTGATCTGCATAGTCCATGCCTGCCTGATTCTTCTGTGAATTTACACCCTCATCAGCAGACGTGTATACAATTGTGATATTTTGCATCTCCTCTATCACTGAACTCAATGCAATTTTCCTGTTGTTGGACTGTGGTGTGCTGATGTTCTTCAGCTTCTCATACAAGTCGGACATCACAGTTAGTTTGCACTCTGTTGCAGACTTAACTGAATTTTAAGTCAGATGTGTAGCTGTGTAAAAAGCTGCGTCCTTTTGTGCAGAGCTTTGTTCAGGTTCATGTGAAATATCATTAAGACAATTACTAAAGCTGGAAACATATCAGTTTTTTTAAGTTAATAAAAAAGGTGTGGAATCAGTGCTCAAACTACAGGATCGTGCTCAGATTCCTGACTTAAAACCATATGTACAACCGTAGGTTGTATAGATCAGTATGAACCTTCCACATGCTTATAAGTCGGTCCTCATGACGAGTTAGTAGTGTGTCTGGCTTTAGAGAGAGCATCAACATCAGCTTTGTCTTAGCTGTATGATCTCTTATTACTGTATGTATTATCACACAAAATAAATATGCAACATTCCAGAGGTCTACCTGTATTTATATTTGATCTTCAGCATGTCTGTAAATCTTCACTGTACTGTCCTGTTCATTTTCATTAGTCTGTCTGAAATAAGTGTTTGTATTATGTGTAAGTGCTAGGCAAAAAAGTTTGAAAAAATTTAGTCAGCAAAGTGTGGGAATTGTTTTAATATAAATTAAAATGACCCCCGAACAGAAAACATCCAAAAATACAATAAACTTCCAGCAATTAGAAAACAACACCTGTTTGTTCATCTCAGTTTGTCAGTAGCTGAATAAAAATACAGTAAGAAACATACAGCTTTGTTGGAAATTATCCTTTACATGTCCTTTTCTCTCTCCTGCTTCATTCCGTTTCAGAGCTGAAGATCATGTCTTGTTCCTTCAGACAGAACATGACTCAATACTAATCATGTGACAGTCACCACCATGACTACAATATTTGCTACATGCGTCAGTTACCCTTTTGTGGTCTAAAATATCCTTCTCTAATATGGAGGCTGAAATGTTTCCAGAACAATACACTACTCATGAAGAAGGAAATAATACATCCTTATATATATATATATATATATATATGCACATTATGGTGGCATGTGACTGCTGAAATGCTGGAAACAAAGTTATACATTTGTATAACTTGTAACTGGGGTAGTCTACTGCATGTTACTGGTGCTTCACATCAAAGTTGAAGGTTTGCAAGTATACTTTGCTACATTAAATACCTACAGACACTTCATGGTTTTTCCTTGCAGATAATATTTGGACCTTTAAGGGAAGTGAGATTCCAACTGTCCAGTGCAATGCAACCAAAACATCTTCCATCAGAGAAAAAAAAAAAAAAAAAAAAACTAGAGGGGCACTCAGAGCACAGACCTCTACCTAGGCCTATGTTAAATAACATACACCAGACTTCAGAGAAAAAAAAAAATTCTAATTTGAAGCGAACGCGCTTAAAATTTAATGGGTTCTTTCCTGGCCCATGCCCCATGTCCTCCATCAAGTTTGGTGCAAATTGGTTCAGTACTTGAATAAATAAATACACAAGGGTGAAAACATAACCTCCATGGTGGAAGTAAAAAATCAAAACAAGGGCAAACTGGAGGTAAATAAGCACCAACAACCACTTACTATATTTTTGTGCTGTAAATGCTTAGAGAAGCATTGCACATCCATGGAAATATGACAGGAACAGTTACTTCATTCTAAATGTAGGCACACTTAACAAATGTCCATGGAAATGTGACACCAAATGTGATGAATTCTATGGAAATGCTTTCATCTTTATGAATTCTGAGCTAAAAAGAATCCTCTGAAGTTGAAAACTGCAACATCCAGCCAGAACGAATAAAACAAAACAACCTTGCAATATTTTAAGTTTCAAGCAGCTTATGTCTTGACCGACAAGCGTTCAAATTTCAAAAATAGCAATATGTGGACAACCTTCTGTGATTGTGAAGTCCTACAGGAGCCAGGGACAGCTCATAATTTAAATTCAGGGCCCGGTTGTTAGCAGAAGCCTTTCACTTCTTGCTCCTGACATGATGATGAAGCTGTCTGCTGCTGTAGATGCCCATTTAAGAGCTGCCTGAACATTTCAAGGATACAGGGGCTTTCTTCTCCATTTGAATGTGTGCAGCTGCAAGAGAGCTTTTAGACATTTTCTTGACAGGTGTTAACTATGACATTCAGCTCCTGTTTGGATCTCTTCAACTCTTCAAAAAAGCTTAATAAAAGAAAAAGCTTCCTATTGCTGATAGCAGGCCGATAAGAATCTGTGCAGTACTATTTCAGTGAAAAGCCCACGGCTGCTGACAGCTTTTTTGCCCCCAACACGACATCAACCTGAATTTAAAATCTCTAAAATAAAAAGGGATGATAAAACACCCTGAACAAAGCTACAATCAGTTTCAAGGTTCAGCGTTTCTCAACACTCAAGTCAAAAGTACCATTTTAACACTTTTTTAATCAAAAGCTGTCAACTGCTCAAACACTTAATTTAGTTACATTCTACATTTCAGCTTGCTAAAAGCGTGTGCTATGCGGTTAATAATGTGGAAAATGTCTCCACCATCAGTACGGTCTTCTAAACTTGTAGGTTATTATAAGTTAACAATCATTCATCTAGCGAGCTAGACAATTTCCAGAAAACTTAAGTCATCCCTCGAGGACAGCAGGGTGGGAAATGAACATTGAGCCAGACAGAGAGACTGCTGGATAGAAAATCTTGCAGGGATTGTAATATTTATGGGGCAACCCGAAAAGTGTTCTCAAGTGTTTAAAAAATGAATGTCACACTATACCTTTAGAATTCTCTATATTGGCTTTTAGCTTCTATGATTTTAAAATCAGTCAGTGTGTCCCAATTCCATACTTTTGTATCCAGTAACCAGAGTTCAAATAAGACTTCAGCTTTGCTTTGTACATCTGAGATGTACAGTTGAGGCCGATGGAAATGTCATTAGGTTTTCAAGTATTTAGTCAAAAACAAATGTTTGACCTGATGATGGCGCTAGATGAAAAATAAGGCATTTTACATTTTATCCTGAGGGGGTCATTAATGTATGTATCAAATTTCAAAAGTTGTTGGGACATTTCACTAAAAGCCAAAAAATGTGAACCTCATGGTCAAACCCAAGAAGTCATTCATTCTAGAGGAATTATCCTCAGGGAACCATGAATGTCTCTACAAATTCATGTTGTAGTTGTGATATTTAACTGGATGAGTGAGAATGCTGGCAGTAGAGGACAAGTCAGAGGATAATCAAAGTTAGTAGGATTCATCCCCTGAGGACCTTAAATGTGTGTGCAAAATTTCATGGCTATCCATCTAACAGTCATAGTAGTCCAGCTGAAATATCCCTAGAGCAACATCACTCGCATGGCTAAAAAAATAAAACATTCTTAACTGTTTTACACAATACGTCGGCCATTGCAAGTCAGTCTAACTGTGACTTTGAAATGACATTACCAATTAAACACCACAATGTTTAACAGAATTTTTTTGTTACCTGGGTCGTTCAAAAAGCTATTTCATCTGCAACTTTGTTTTTATCCACAACCTGCTTTTATGTTTTGCAGCTGTGGCCGAATAGTGCCCATCAAAAGCACACTGAAAATTCAGCTGTATACTTTTCCTGTGTGAACACACGTCATGCTTAAAACCTGCTTAATATTAGAATGTAGTATAGACACAGCAACATAATATGTGTCCATGTACAGGGTTTTCTAGTGGTTATCCAAAATAAGGAGCTTCTCCTTATTTAACAAATGAAGTTAGCAACATAAAAACAGTTTTTGTGTGAGTACTGAACGAGGTTGGTTTTGAACTTGATGTCTATACTTCATAATTATCTCAAGCTGCTGTAATTTAATGGTGTGGCTGGGGACCTACTCAAGAATATAATTTTCCAACTGGGAGCCAATATTAAGAGGCACAACCATCATCAATGCATTTGATAACTGTCAGTGTTAATTTCCCACCCTGGGAGAGCAATTCACATGACAAGTCATGTTCCACCATAACCAGTGTGTGTTTAATTCAGACTTTCCAGCATGGAGAGAGGCTGGTCTCTTCATTTCTTGGTCGCTATTTGATGAAAGCACCTCTTCACATACCGATATGTCCTGTGCTAAGGTTGTGCCAGGTTTCCTGTCTTTCCACATCGCAAGTGTGACTCAGCGCCTGTTCGTGGCCCTCCCTGACCTGCGTTTGGGCGTGGTTTTTGCCTTCCCTGTGCTGTTCTTTTTCCCTGGGACAGCAGGAGCTTCCTTCTCCTCCTCCTCCTCCTCTTCATTGGTATCCTCAACCGCAGCTGTGGGTTCGGAGTCTGGCTCCTGTCTGCTGCCAGCAGGCAGCTCAGCAGGACTCTCCTGAGCTACAGATGCCTGGGATGTGGTCTCTTCCTCTTTGCTGTGGAGGCTGAGGTCTTGGTCTGTGCTGTCAGTGCAGGTCGCTGAGGAGGTGGTGAAGTCCTGTGAGGTCGGGTCGGGTTCTGATTCTTTCTCTTGTTGCTGGTTTTCTGTCTGCATTTGCAGTCGGGTGAGTGTAATGATGGGCTGCAAGGAGTTCAGGTTTGTCACTAAACCAGTGTCATCAGAGAGGGCATTTTCATCTGACCAGTCTGTGGTGGTTTCTGTTACAGGCCTGAGGCTGTCTGAAGCTAGGAGAGACTCTCTGGAAGATTCAACGGCTTCACCCTTTTGACTGAGCAGCACTCTGTACCTCTGAAAAAAGAAAGCAGAAAAATACTGCAATTAGTCAATGGGAATTCCTCAATACACTTATTAATGTGCCTGTAGATTACTGCACACTAGCACTTAAAGAGCTTAAATATACTTGGATATATACTTGGAATGACGTTTGGGTTAGACAATCAATAAAACAAAAGACATACATCTCTTAAATGCTGGACACAAATTATAACAAATACTAATAATGTAGTTAACTTTAAGAAGAATTGTAGTGGAACAACAATTTTCATTTGGGCCACAGATAATCAGTTTTATCAGGTATCACCTATTTAGTAGTGGAAACGAAGTTGATGAAGTCATTAAAAACCAACCTTGAGGTTCTCGAAGTGCGTCAGTGATTTGCAGTGGGTATGTAGGGCAGAAGATTCAAAGTGGTAAAACTTGTTGCAGAGCCTGCAGATAAAACCTGCAACTGGAACAAAGAAACTCGACCCTGCAGTAAAGGAAATCAGAGAGTGAACTTCACTCAAATGATAATTAAAAGAAAACGCAGGGAAACACTGTTTCATGCAGTGAAGAACCAGGAGTTAGTCATCACTCACCGTAGACTGTGTCAGGGTCATACTGCTCATCACTGGCCATTTTCTTAAGAGTCACTTCTTTAAGGGAGGACCAGCCATCCTGCACCAGGCCACCACAGACACAGTAAACATGTTAAATGCATCGATTGTGATGTACAAACAGTTTTATTTCAGAACTGATCTCAAAGGGATGTTGAGCTCTGGTAAAGTTTCACGGGGGGAAAATGACAAAAAACAACAAAATAAATCACCTGTTTCTCTGAGCAGTCTTGGTCTTCCTCATTCCTCTGTCTTTCCTCTCCCTCCTCCACCTCACTTCCCTCCTCTTCCTCGTCCAACGAAAAGCCGTCTGTGTCCATGGCAGTCAGCTTGGCCAAGGCCTCACAACCCTCCTTTTCCTGAAGCTGAGAAACAGTGACATAAATTGGTGAGGTGCAACAGTATAGCAAAGTCAACATTTACGTTCATCTTCAAAATACTTGCTAATATCTTTAGGAATATATACACAGATACCTTCTCCATT